GCAGGCAAGGTAGTCCGAGTTTTGACCGGCATTGCAGTCGGTAAGCCGGAACAAGAACGCTGCAGAAGAAATTCCGCGAGCGAACGAAGGAAAGGAGACCGCATGGAATAAAAGGCAAGGACAAGAAAATACCAAAGTCGGCCTCATGTTGAAGAACTAATCCAGCAAGGACAAAACAGGGCCCTACTCGGATGACAATGCCACCCCGTTTACCGGGACTAATGAGTATCCCCGGTAAAGACTTTGCGGAGTTACTCGGGTTATGTTTTAGGTGGGGGCTCACGAGTGTGGTGCACTAGGTTCGGGTCGGGAAGTCCTCCGCGCACTTGGATACGAACCATGAGATCGGTGCGTGGTATATGCGAGAAATCTGAGTCAAGAATCATCGCCAAGGTTGAGATTTCTCTCTGAAGAACTGGAACCTGTAACCGTCAACATTCGGTCACGAAGCTCGACTCTCCCACAGTCCGGAGACCGGATCTGGAAGGTTTCGATCCTCGTAAAGCCGGTGTGGTCAGATCGGATGGATGGTGGAGTTGACGATCGACGTCACCGGGAATTCTTCAGCACCGTTATGGTCAGTGAGGATACTATGTGGAGGAGAAGAGGCAGGGTATTGCAAAAGGCTGGAAACTGTCTGCCCTCTACGTTGCGGTCGATGGGTCGAGGTAGCGCACGGTGTCATGGGAAATATATTAAGAGATTAAAAGGTGAATGGTGTCACGCAGACAGTATCTGCTGCAGAATACCAAGAGGGAAAAGCGAACCATCCCGATACAACAACAAAAGAAACTATTTTTGAACCTTATATATTGTTTTCACTTTTGGAAGGTTGTCGTATTGATGAGAGGGTAGTTTACAGGCGGTGTCCTATGGGGGAATATTTAGCAGCCACTAGAGCTATGTTAATTCATAGTGTGCAGGACAGGGCATCGACTTTCTCCGAGTTTAGACTAGGGTAGATCACGGAGATTGTTGATTGGAAAGGACTATGCTCATCGGAATATCTTGTCCATCTTGTCATAAGAGCCACTTAATAACAAATTATACTTTTCACTTCCTTGTACGACTGGATGTGATCTCTTCCAATCCTTTTTGTTATTTTAGTGTGTAGTGGTCTTGAGATATTCAGAATACTCTCTGAAGACATTTTTTTTCTCCTTAGGCCAATGAAGCTATAGAACTGCTTCACTTTCACAATGCACCAGCTTAGCAGCCAGTTGTATGATCTCACCTAACTTCGAGTGGTCATCACATGCGCTTATGGGATTGTACCTCCAACACAATAATTTCATCTTTTATCTATGACACGAACGTATGATCCAAGTTTCAAAATATAGGCATACAGCAACGGATGGGGATTGAACAAACCCTATAAATCCCATTATCCGGTCCCATACAGTTTGAGCAGGAGCATGCAAAGGTTTTTAAAGAAATAAAACATATAGAACTATTATATAGCCCAATGAGAGACACATTTGTTGTCTTCAATTGTTGTTTCGATAAATTATGATATAAAGGTAACTTTGCATAAGATTAATGCCTAACCAGATCCCATAACCTGTTCTCATTTAGCCCATAAAACCTTTTGCAGTTACTGGGAAGTTATATAACCCTCTAATCTAGGTTTTGTTATAAAGGAATTTATAAAACTTTCCTAGTGTTACAGGAAAGGGAGCATCAAATCTTAGTATACACGCTGATGGAACGTTCTTCACTTTCTGCGCATCTCCATGTGTTGCATACAGACACCACTAGGATAAACTAAATACATTTCAAAATTCAAAATACGTCAAATTGCATTGTATCCGAATTGCTCTTAGTTTTCAGTTGTCAGAAAAATTTCAGGATATATACTTGCAAAAAATGTTTGAGTAATTTTTTAGGTATTGATTGAATCCAATGAGTATGAACCATCTATTTTATATGCAAGTAATAATTATCACAATGATGCCATAAAATTGTGAACTTTTTTTTGCAAAGGTTTGTTGAAAGATTGTTGTTTTATAAAATTAAAATTTACTTTTAAATATATAAAAAGAAAGTAGTTATTTCTCGAGCAAATAAAGTTATCAGTATGTGCAAGAAATAATTTAAAAATTAAAAGGAATTTAAGCTAGATCAAAAGTGGCTTTGTGAGGTCAAACATGTATATATGTTTTTATCAAGCTTAAAGAAAGGTCGACATCCATGTCTATCTTGAAGAAATCAGTACAAAAAATGTTTTGGGTTAATATTATGAGAATCTTTCTTTCTTCATCATGATGATAAGGAACAAAAAGTCATACAATTTTGTGCCGATCCTTCTAACAACATATTTAAATCAAAATACACGTATTGTATAAAAAAAATTAATATTTGTTTGTGTTATATAAAAATTAAATAAAATATTGCAGAAAATAATGCCATGGTAGGGAAGTTATCAAATTGACTATGAAAATTACTTTATAAGTGTGGGTATGGTAGGTATCAAATAGTGAGATAGACTCAACTTTATTCTAGTTCTTACATTATGGTTAGAAGTGGAGTGTATATTTTGAAATGTTTAGATTAGTAATGATGATTGTGTTGATATACTATGATTCATATATTGTGGAGCTTGCCTGATGTGACAATACTCTATATTATTGTCCCGTGTGTTTAAATATATATAAAAATAAATAAATAAATATTTAATTGATATTTTACAATACGATGACATTACTGCTACATTGGTAGGAATAATCTAGTTAAAGAACCACAATCATGGATAATGTAATTTATCACTTTGAAGTTATTAGTACAAAACTAACAGTAGATGTCTTTACACAGTGGGAGCTTGATGTTTATTTGATGGATTGTTACCGACTTCATGTCGAGTTAGCAACCTATAGTCCATCAACTTTACTCTCAATTTTATATGCAAAACACATGTAAGTACTTCCTGAGTTCGATCCAGTTAAAACGACATCATTCAGTAATATGACTTCCTGTTAAAGATTCGAGTTTCCAACACTACAATGAGGATCATTTGGACAATATGTATGTTAGTCTGCCTTAGAAGCATATAGCTCACAAAGGAACTTAGAGTACAAAGCCCAGCATTAGAGTCAAAGAGGATGAATACAATACCGGCCACCTTGTAAGGATCACAAAGGATGGATGAACCCGAATGATCCAAACCACGAAGAGACTTTAACTGGCAGTTCAAGTCCCAAGAGTCAAGTACAAAATAGTCGTAAGTTGACCCAACATGTACACCACAAGGAGACAGAGTACGAACACATGTTGACACCAGAAGAAGGCCGCAACTGCCTTAGGACGACTGCCATGACCCAATGACCTTACCCCTAGCCCCGAAGGAAGCCAAAATTAAAGCCAGAGTCCCAGGCCCTGCCTCAACATTCAGACAAAATATATCCATTCGCTATTCCAGACACCATTATCCGCAACTCCATCCGGTCTCTATTTCTAGGCTCTTGGAAGTTGGAAGTTGGAAGTGGCCCTCGAGTGCTCTGCTCTCGCTCGCCTTTCATGCTCCCCATGGCATCCGTCAGATTCCCAGGACCCACTCTTTATTCCTTATCGCGACTATTTGAGCCTTGAACATCTGGACATGGACGTGCTACAGGACGAAACCTGGTTGTCACCTTGGCCTTGAATCCCCAACTGCAAGTCGTGGTAGAATCCTCGCCCGCAGCCCGCCTTCTGTTGGAGTCTTTGCCCTTCCCCTTATGGAAATAATGCCTGGCAAGGCAAGCTTTACCCCGACTCGTCGCCCACGCCGAGGTCCAAACCCGGAGCTACCGTCCCGTATGGATCTCTTTCGCTTCGGGTATACGGTACAGCGCTAGACTCCAGCGTCCAGTCGGGAGTCCGGATACGCCAACGCGGTCAAGTGAGCAGTCGCTCGGGTCTCGGGCTCCACTCACCGCCGAGGTTAAGGCTACTGACTATGCTAACGCCATCTTCCTCTAACCCATTCGAAACTGTACTTCGTACGCCAGGATGCTGATCCTGTTACCTCTATCCCCTTCGGGCCGGGAAGGGTGTTGGCTGGACTCCGTACATACATATACCGTGATGGTGAAGCCCGATATTCTGGTAGAGAGTGTACTCAAAGAGAATTTTCTTTTTAATATTTACATGCCGGTCAGACTAGAGTGACGGGAGAAAACAAAATACAAAATAAGGGCTTTAATAAAGAAAATGAGTAGAATTCTAATTTTTTCCAGTGCTCGGTCTGGGCCGTTGGTCTTGGTTGGTCTTCGCGTTGGTCTTTTTTCCTCTATAAAATTAATTCATGCGTCCTCCTCATGATTCCTTCTTCGAACTGGGAAGTTTTCAAATAAATTTGTGTTAGAGATGACTTGAATCTTGATTTATACATTTTTCGGCGTAATAACAAAGAGAGAAATAAATGGTGAAAAGAGCACCGCGAACGTTTAGGAGTGATCTTCTGCCGTGATCGAGAACCGGTTCAGGGTGCGGGAAGTGGTTTAGAATTGTCATGAGGGTTAGCAGCTCCGGGTCTGATGAGTCTCCAGGCGCACCCTCTCGTCCTCGAGTCCAGACTCGTCCGCGAATCACATGGCGACACCTGGAAGGCCGGCCCTCCGGACAGCAGGCGCCCAAACATCTGGGACATCAAGGCGAAGCGAAGGAGAGACCGGTCCGAAGTCCGGAGCACGGGAGAGTAAAAGAAGAGAAATCGAAAGAATTGCGAAAAGGAAAGAAAGGAACTGCGGAGGAGGAGCGGGCGGAGGAAGAGACCGGGGAAGACCCGGCGCGCAGAAAGGCACGATGCGGAGGGCGTATTCACACGTGCAGCAGGAGGCGAGGGGTTCAGTATTGTACAGGACGGGCGCGGCCCTGTTGCGCTCTGTGCCGCGCGCTGCTTTTGCTGCAGGGAGTGCTCGGGGCGCAGAGCATCCATCGCCGAGCAACAGAGACGGCCTTCGAGCCAGAGGCGAGGGTGGGCAGCGGAAGCTTCAAAACCTGGTGCCGCGATCAGCAACTCCATTCAGCCGAGGAATTGGTGAGTATTGGTGTCGTGTGTGAGTGATTGGATCCCCAGAGCAAGGAGTAGTACGAGTCTCAAGAAAAATCTGCTTGATTGTGTTGGAGTCCCTCTGTGGGTGTTGTGGTGTCAAGTATCGGTGTTTCTTGATTAGTATGTAGCGACGGCTCGGTGGTTCAAGGTGGGACGGCGACGAGGTGGAGGTGTTGCAGGGCAGGAAGAAGGGATATATTGCGCGGAGAATTCGAAGAAAAGACAGCACAAGACTTGTGCGCTCGGACGGTAGCGGTTTAGTGGTGTGTTGTATTCTGTTTGCCGAAGAATTTCGGACGAAAATCGAAAAAGGTGATTGATCTGAGGCAGGGGCTGTTGTGAGGGGTGAACAGGTGAGGAGGGATTAAAATTCGGAGGGCGGAAGAAAGTCAGTCACAACGGGGGGCGGCGGAGGAGCAACGATGGGTGTCGTCGATGATAGCATGTTGACTCACAAAGTGAGGCAACCCCTGCTCTCGAACCATAGCTCCGGCGGTGGAAAGAAGAAAGGGACTAAGGGACATACCGGTTCTCCTGATTTCGCCGTCGCCTGCACCTTGCTCGTGGCTCTCGGCCCCATTTCCTTCGGTTTCTCGGTGAGTTTGTCCGCCTCTGTTACGGATCAACTCTCTTTCGTCAATCAGCTCCTACGAATGGCTGTTCAGCTCAGCATTATCAGCAACTAGATCGCCCTCTAGCTGAATTGTAGCATCCGGAGCTATGTCGAAAGTTTATAACGGGTGACATAAGTATTCTTGGTCTCCGAGGCGGGTATCCGAATTTTCCACTCAATTGCTCGATTTCTAGTGGACTTGCCTCCTCACTTTGCGATTCATAGACTGATAATATTTCTGACGTCTGTGTCGACTGAATCAGCTTGGCTACTCCTCTCCAACGCAACAAGAAATCATCAATACCCTGAATCTCACAATTTCTCAGGTTTGATCCAACATCCCGAGCCAATTCTCGTCGTTGTGCTTGATGGACATGTTCGGGTTGTTTTTCTCGCTCAGGCTAATCCTCCGCTCGTTGTCGTGCGTCTCCAGTTCTCAATGTTCGGCTCTCTAGTGAACTTGGGGGCCATGGTCGGTGCGATTGTAAGTGGAAAGATTGCTGATTACGTGGGACGCAAAGGGGTAAGTGGACTCGATGAATTCCTTTGCGATCTTACTGTCGCACAGTCATGTACTCTTCAGCGATCGCTCTTCTCTGTTGAAATGCTTTGTGTTAAAAATGCGTGTGATCCCTCAGCGACTTTCAATCCAAATTGGAATCTAAACTTTTGGTATCTGATTGTATGAACAGGCCTTGGTTGTTGCATCCGTGCCGCATCTGGCCGGTTGGATTATCACTGTTTTCTGCGAGGTCTACATTCTGTACCCTGCTGATTTCACGGATATTTCACCAGCAAACTTTTTGTCATTGCAAAGATTGCATTCAGTCACTACTGATCAGACTACTCCTCTTCCTGCGAGTGGTACCAGGCGATCGTGGCAGGAGTTGGCCTCATCTGAATTAAGTTTCTTCATTTCACAGATCGCACAATTCTACGCGGAAATCTAAATTTTGTGAGGTGAAACTGCAGGATGTCACTTCTTTGTACGTCGGAAGAGTACTAGTTGGCTTTGGAGTCGGAATTATTTCCTTTGCGGTAAGATATGCGCCTCGGAACGTCTTTGTTCTGGTTTATCATTCGTGTAGGTTTTATGTAGATGACCAGCGCAGGAATCTGATTGTGATTTATGCGTAGAAGATCCACCAGTGTTACTAACTCACTTCGTTCTTAACTACAGGTTCCAATCTACATCGCTGAAATCGCTCCTCGCCAACTGAGAGGATTTCTTGGAACATTTAACCAGCTTGCCGTAACAATCGGTATTATGCTGGCGTACCTTGGTGGGCTCTTTTTGCAATGGCGCCTACTTGCGGCTACAGGTGAGATCCAGATCTACTTACTTTTCGGTCCGGGCATTAGCCACTATTTGAGATAAATGTCTCCCTAAGTCGAAATTCGCGTAATCAAAATTCGGCTTTTCAACGCCACACTGGAACAAGAATGACACACTACTGAAAAGAAAGCCCAGAATTCAATTGGGGAGTTCTGTTTTCTGTAGCTTGGATGCAATTACGATAACAAACTCACAATAATGGTTCTCTACACTGGATCATATATCGTGCAAGATTTGTTAATATCTTCCGCTAAATTGAATCATGATGCAGGAATTATTCCTTGCTCATTGTTGCTACTGGGTCTCTTCTTCATCCCTGAGTCTCCTCGCTGGCTGGTATGTAAATTTAGTGCCCTGGAGATTCCTTTCTACTCGTTCTCGATTGAGCACCTGTGGCGCTTTTTTTCTTACTCTAATTAGTTGTGATCTACGTGCAGGCTAAAGCGGGTGGGCATGACGAGGAGTTGGTTATGGCCCTGCAAGCCCTCCGTGGTAAGGATGCTGATATTACCACTGAGATGAATGAAATTAAGCATGGTGTTGAGGAATCGATGATGCAGCCTGAAGCTAGTCTCGGAGATTTGTGCGACCGGAAATTATTCCGACCTCTTCTGGTGAGTAGCAAATACGGTTACACTGAGACCTTCCGCACAGACGTTCATAAAATTGCCACTCTAAAAGTGGATGCAGAAAGTATGGCATTGAGATTCGTATAATTTTTTCTGTAATTGCTGCTCTTTTAGATTGCGGTGGGTCTTCAAGTTCTTCAACAGTTTGGAGGAATCAATGCTATCATGTTCTACGCCGGTGCCATCTTCAAGTCTGCAGGTGAAATCTTAATCCATCTATTCTCTACCTTGCTTTGAAGTTGGATATCTGGTTGATTGTGTTGACTTTCCATGTTTTACTTTTTGATGTATCGAATAAGGATGCGAAGTTGTTCGTTCTAACTGTTTGCTGCTCATTTCCTGATTGTGCAGGTTTTGCGAACGCGAACATTGCATCCTTCGGCCTTGGATCTATTCAGGTACTTCAATTTCTTCCCTCTGCCAGCCAGTCTTTCCCGTTTTTATACTTGACCGTGGATGTTTTTAACTTTTAGAAAGCGCTTCAGAATCAGTGAAGGAATCGAAAATCTAACCTCTTCTGTCTGGTAATCAGGTCTTCATGACAGCTGTTGCAGCCAGTCTTATGGACAAGGCCGGAAGACGCCTCCTTCTCATGGTGAGTTGTTGGGTTCATCTTGACTGGTGATGAGAAGTTGAAATTTGTTAAGTTCCTATGGCCCTCTATGAAACTTGTTGCGATTATCTCTCCTGTTTTTCTGCAAAGGGACTTTATCAGTAATGTAATTGTTTTGGCTTTGGCGCCGCTTTAAGTTCAGTGCCGTATTTACCCCTAGTTCTGATTAAACTCTTCGTTTTCTTGTAGGTTTCTGCCGGTGGAATGGCTGTTAGTTGCTTCCTCGTCGGTTTCTCCTTCTACTTGCAGGTAACGTCATCTTCTTGCTCGCTCCCTTAGCTGATTTTTGGGTGAATGTGCTATGATGTGAACGTATAAAAATCTGCTGGCTTCTAACTACAAGTATTATCTGGCTTGCAGGAACAACTCACCCACCCATCCCACATGGATACCTTCGTGAGCATGTTGGCTCTCATCAGTCTCCTGGTATGTTCCAATTCGATCGCGAGCTCATTAAGATTACACAGGGCCGCAAGATGGGCAGTAGCCAGTCAGCGAGCAAAATCTTGCGAATAAAGCCAATATGCTCTTCGATCGTATCTTGAAAGCAGCATCTCCATGTTAACTGATTTTAGCACATGGATGTTGTATACAGGTATACATCATTTCGTTCTCTCTTGGAATGGGAGCCATCCCCTGGATTTTGATGTCGGAGGTAAGTTACTATGAATGAACATATGTAGCTAGCCTGAGGACCGCCTTCTTCACATTTCTGCCTCCACATGTTAAATATTCAACTCAGCGCAACTTCTCTGACGAGAATTATTTGAAACTACCTTGTACAGGTCTTCCCCAGTCACGTCAGAGGTCTCGCCGGTAGCTTGGCTACTTTGGCAAACTGGTCCTGTGCATGGGCCGTAACAATGACATTCAATCTTATGCTAGAATGGAGCGCATCTGGTAAGCGCGAACTCTATCCTATTATCTCTGAACCGACTTGTAGTGAGCTTGTACGCGGCCCCACCAGTCACTTTAACCAGCGCTAACGAATAGTAATGCGATTTCCTCCTGCAATTCCCCTAAAATGATTCGTGTGTTTGTTTGTGGGGCACGTTATCAATCCTTTTAAATGGTACTTCTGATCTCATAATGTCTCAATGCAGGTTCTTTCTGGGTCTTCGCTGCGGAATGTGCTTTAACTGTGGTGTTCGTGGTGGCCATTGTTCCCGAAACTCGGGGACGAACATTGGAGGAGATCGAAGCTTTTTTCAAGTAATGGATCTATAGTAGGAGTGGTTTAATGTAGGTGCTGGTGTACCCTGGTATATGTACTCACTGGCTTCGTGGGTCTCGGTGTAGATCTAGACAGACTTTCGAGATTTTGGTTATTTCTAGCATTTAATCATGCAGTAGAAATCAAGTGTATCAAAATGCTCCATTCACACTTGTTGAATCCCAAGGCTCTACTTTTCAAACGTGGCAGTAGGGCTTTTTCCCACATTTTTTAAACAATCTGGGAATTCGAGGATCGGCAACTCTTTCTTGTTAGTCATACTTCCGCATGCACATTCGCATGCAACTAGCCTGCCCAGCTCCCTCGGGAGCCCCTTCTGTACATAAGCACCAGGGAAAATGCCACCCGAGGCTGCTTAAAGTCTCGGGGCTGCGCACTGTACTATTTTGTAATGTATGCCCGATGGCAAAGAGTTATGATATACATGAATTTGAATTAACCCAAAAAAATATTATTTTTTTTGTCTCCGCGCTGTTCCTCGATGTGCGTACGATTCATCTTATCCGCATGGTCTAATGCTTTCGTTTGGTTTCAAAACAGTCTGTGCTCACTAGCTCCAAACTTGATGGATTGCGTTTGCAGTCTTGGACGAGGTGGTCTGCATTTTGAAGGCCAGCAGGGTTTGGAGCTTCAAGCTGCTATCAGCAAGAAAGAAGTTGAGGCCAGTTGAGGTGTGTCAATTTCGCATTTGTCTACTTAGTATTGCTCTATCACATCTGGCTAGGCCAACTCTTGTGCGTTTTTCTGAATTTATGTGTCCCACGACTTATCTTAACTTAGTCGTGCTACCATAAAAAGTCTGAATAAGTGCGATTATATGCACACTATATCTGCGGGCGTGGAAGCAGGAAAACTCCTTCAATCACATCGAGTGTCCTTAAAAATAACACCAGGCACCTACTTCTTGTTGCAATCTGCCAAAGAAAGTCTTCTTCCTATGAATAGCATCTACATGTTCTTATTGGAGATCAAGCTGCTAAAGATAAGCCGCTCGTCTGAGCACTTTTTTTCTAGTGATTTTTTGAGACAATTGTTTATATGCACTGTAGCACGTTCTATTCCTTCTCTCGGTACACTTCCTTCATCACCCACGTCTTAATCGCTACAGTCAAAACTCGCTGCAGACAATTAGACTGAAAAATATTTTCTCCACTTGTTGACTACACTTAAACATACATCTGCAGCAAAATTACTTTCACAATGTCTGTAAAGTATCCTTGTGGCTAGTGCCGGGCAGCCGCAAGAGCATGGAATAGTACTATTGAGCTTCGGACATCAATGTAAGCACGAAGGCATAGTAGAAACAAAATCATCACCCTTAAAGCTGTCCAACAGGGAGACACTTTGCTACCCTGAACCAGGCCTCTTAAATTCTGGCAAATACCAGGTTTGCCAGAGGCGATAATCCTTTGAATTGCTTCGCATGTATAAAACCCGCCAAGGAAAGTCTTGGGTTGCGCGGTGCAGGAGTCATCTTTCTCCCATTTGATCATGGAGAAGTGTTTTGAAACGTTGAATGAATACAAAAAGTTTGAGAAAAAAATATGAAATGTACCAGGACCTTCTAATGTAGCGAAGAAAAGATTCACAATGATCAAAACAAACATGCTGTAGAAATGTTACGAAAGTAAAAGAAGTGAAAGAAAAATATGAAATGTTATGAAATGTTAATTGGTACCTTCTATTCCAGTCAAGAAAATAGTCACAATGATAAAAAAACATGCTAATGAAATGAAATTTAAAAAATTGAAAAAAATTATTTGAAATGTCAATGAACTGTATTTTTCTTAATTCTTGGATTCTTCTTTTTTAAACTTTTTTTTGCTTTGCTCTCTATTTCAGATTACTTCTTTTACTTCTTCTCTTTCTCTCAATCTTTCTTTCTCTTTTTAGATTCACAATTCACCAGCAAATTCAAGCGCATGCATCTATGGGTTATTTCGGGAACATACATTCTTACCATAACTTTTTCTTCCATTGAATTACATGGACAAAATTTTATATTATGTATGCAATTTTGGCATCTAAAAATAGAAAGCCAGATCTAGGAGGCCAACCCTAACCCCTCTAAAACCTTAACCTCTACATATCGATTTTTGGCTGGAAACCCAACCTGCACTTTCTCTCCTGTGCAAATTATCATCAAAAGCTTCTATCCTAAAAAGTGTTTTACTTGAGGCTAGCAAGTACCAACTAATCTCTGGTATATGTTGCTCATTCGCATCAGTGCCCAAATGCTAACGTCCATAATGTAAACACGGTTCATAATTGATTGTCAATAGATTATACTTAGATCTGGAGGCATTTTCAATATTATAGGTTGCTATTTCTCCCGTGTTTTGCTGTCGCAGAACACTCAGAGAAAAGTTGTGAAGCTTTACAAGATATTGATAGCTTCTATGTGAAACTATAATTCGTGGACAAGTCAAACTTAACGGTATGTTTTTTATTGAAAGAATAGTCAACACATCGATATCTTGATCATTGCAGCAGTTGATCCCAATCTTTAACTTACAAGCTAACTTGTCAGACTTAGGTCCATAACAAAATTCACATCTCAACAAATTGGCTACTTCCACTTTATATACAACCTAAATTTGCAAGAATGCTCATACAATCATATTTGGGTTTGCAAAACCGTAACACAGAATCATATCTCGATACACTCTATCCAGATTACATGCAAGGTTGGTCACACTAAAAATGTCATATTCTATGCCTTCACTATATCAATTTTGTAAAATAATGTTACATTGAATTAAGCTCCGACATCGATAATACCAAATCTTCCATCAAAGATTAGAAATCAAATTTTCATGAAATTTTTATTATGTGATTTTAATTACATTCAATGTGCTTGACAAACTCTATCACAAGTAAATTTCACGTCTACTCTGATGTGATAACGATTCATCATGATCAAAACACCTATTTATACAAAAATAATGACAAAAAAATAGAAGCAAAATCTAAGTTGCAACTAAAATCAAAATTGGAATTTATTTTAAAATTAATAATTATTTAAAAAAATTATTTTCTCTAAATAAAAACATATATTATGAAATCAGAAATTCCTGCAATTTTTACATCTATTCTTAGAAGTGATATGTGATAATTGAAAAGAATTAAATAATTTTTTATATGATTAATAAAAAAATCTATTAAATTTAATCTTAGATTAAAATTAAATTAAATTTATCTAAAATCATTATTTATTGTGATAAAAAGATTTATATTTTCACACATTTTTTGGCTAGATTCACATCTTTTTTTTCCAGTCCTATTTTAAACAAAATAAATTTGAGTGCTATTTTTTATCAACTCAATTACTTATGTCGGCAGCTTATTGAGTTGTGACCTGATTGGTCACAAACTCCATAGTTCCACGAATTGAAAGTGAAATTCGTCTTTGATGGTGCTTGTCTTGTTCTTGGATCCTACATGTACGCCACAGTTCTTAACCACGACCAAGGGCTCTGAAACTTTAACATGAGGCGTACCTAGGACCTGATTGAGGGGAGCAACCGCTTTGACAGTGTCAAGAGTTGGAGACTGCTGACGCGAACATACACTTGATTCCGTGATGTTCCCTCCATCCTCTACGTACTGGCGCTGCCAAAGTGGAGAAACTCCTCCACAAAGCATGCCACAAACTTCTGCGTATGTGGAAGCCAAATATTGTTAATGTAATTTCACGCAGTCTGATGGTTTGAATCGTAGTTCTTCTTAAAAGCACCAAGGGCCGCATCGAGTAGTTCCATCGACGTGCTGAAGTCAATCAGATTTTGTTGTTGCATGAACTCCTAGCATTTGAAATCGGAGAAGCGTGATTTGCAATTAGCAAGCTCGTCCTTGTTGATGTGCCAAGAACAGATGATGTTGTGGCAGCCTGGACAGACTCGAGCGATTCCGTTCAACAAGACCAGTTCCCGGTACGTGCATTGGATCTTAAAAGTCATCACGACACACTGAGAAGTTTGTGGCATGCTTTGTGGACGAGTTTACCACTTTTGCAGCGTACTACGTCGAGTATGGAGGAAAAGCATCACGTAATCAAGTCGTATATTTGCGTCAGCACTCTCCACCTCTTGACACTGACAAAGCGGCTGGAGCTCATGTTGACTAATCAACGCATTTAATTAAATGCTGCGATTGAGAAGCAGAAGTAGCATCTAGCGCATCGTTTCAATCACCAGTGCTTGAAGAAGTTCTGATGTACAACGTCTTCGATTTTGCTCTCAGAAAGCTACTGGCACAGCTAAAGCTCGTTGGAAAGGGAGACATGAGGAGTAGCCATGCACTAGACGACTCACAAAATCATGAAATCTATCCTGTCATGACTACATGCGTGGCTGTCTAGAAACCGAGACTCCGATTCTTTTGTAGGACATTCATGAACACTGGCTGTTGGACAAAAATCCCTTGGCTCCTTCTAGTTTCACTGCAGTTGCGCTTTCACATGAACCGTTATCTCCAAGAAGTTCATTTGTGCAAAAGATGATGACTACCCTACAGCAAGTATTGGATAATGAGAATCCTCGAGCATGCAGTTTGATTGTCCGCCTCAATTAGGTCCTAAATACGCCTGATGTTCAAGTTCAAGAACCCTTGGGCTTGGTTAAGAAACACAATAGACTTGTAGGATTGAATAACAAGACAAGCACCACCAGACGCAAGTCTCAATTTGACACGTGGAAATACGCAAGTGTATAGTCTGTGCTCAATCAGGTCACAACTCAAGAACTTGACCGAAGAAGTAATTGAGGTGATAAAAAACCACACTCAAATTTATTCTAATTAATTTGGAACTGGCAAAAAATATGTAAAGATAAATTTTTCCTTATTAAATACAGCAATAATTTTACTGAGCATAGCTTAAATTTTTGTAAAAACATTGATTGAATTAAATTAGAACATTATGACTTAAATTTTTGTTAAAGTTGAAAATAAAATAATTTATTTCTTGCTTTTAATCAAATCGCAATCTTTTATATATAAGATTGATAATTCATGTTTATGTCTAAATAAATAAAAATCAGCTTAGAAATTACTAAACAACTTTTGACACAAATTTTGAATAAATCTAGCTAGTTTAACTAGGATAAACTATGGCCGTAATTGTCACATAAGAAGAATAGATGAAGACTATTTGTGGCGTAAATCAGATTTTTGAAAAAAAAAAATTGTATGTGTAGTGGACATAGCCCCACAAAATAATTGTGTATTTTTTTCAATATTTTTTCTCTTTCAAATAATAATATGTATCAAAGGATATATATTAATGGACATTTTTCCATTGCAGTGAAGGGTATATGTATATTTTGAATAATTTTCACTTTCTATTCAGGTAACTATCTATACTCTAGATACATAATCTTCGCTTCTGAAGCAATTGTTGCAACTTATTTGTAGCATTAAGATATTCTTAAAATTTTTAATATAATCAAAGGTTTACAGTATATCTTCATCAAAAAATTTACATCTTTAAAGCAATGCTTCCAATATTTATTAAGTATCACTATGTATAACTCTTCCCATTCCATTTTATTATGATTTTTCTTTTATGGTAAGAGCTACCATTGAGAGATGCAATTTTAAGTCATACATTATTCTATATATGTTGTAACATTACTCCAACCTCCACATCTAGAGTGGTTTATATTCATCTAATTTTTTCATCTAATCATTTAAGATTTGATGCATGTATTATAGCATCTTTAATATATTGAATGCGCTCACGGCTGTTTGTGACCTTTGGATTAAAAAGATTTTTAAAGACGTTGAGCAATACAAGGTAAAGATTCCAGAAACCTTATATCAAAGCTGGTTAAATAGAAAAAGAATCTCAATTTTGGAGTACATTCGATGGATGCACTGTGTGTGATCCACTTTCTCAATCATGATTTGGATGACCACCTTATCGTCTAAGTAATCATCAATCTTTTCAAATTCACACTTTGATGTCAAAATGTGATTTAAATTTTTTCATTTATTACAGTATAAGTTACATTGAATTGAATTAAACTTCAATTTACTTGCTATGAAAAAACAATTTCTCTTCAAATATGTTCTTATAATCATATCCTGACTCTCTCTGTATAGAGTAAAATAAATGCATGCCTAACCGGAAGTGCAAGGTATAGAGGATGAGTCAGCCCATAGTTCACCCACTACATGTTAAGAAAATACAGTAATCAAAAGATTTCAATTGTATGTGGAGTGAGAGGTTATGCTACCTTTATCGGAGATAATGTAGATGGGACTTGCCCATCCCTGCACGACTTGACGGTAACATCCTATAAAGTCGTGCAGAGATGAACATATGCCCCACTGCTTACGAGAGTAGAAAGTGCTATGCAAGTTGGAGATGAAGATCAAACAGGGGTCGCTGGATAGAAATAGTGAAGTCAGGGTGTTCAGAGTAATCGAGATTGAGGAGATTCGCAGATATTTTACAGCCGACTTCGGTCTAAACTTTTCATCTACGGCAAACTTGCGTACCTATTCTCCATTTTGTAAGTTGAATTGTAAGAGCCAGGCAATTTTTACTATGGTCCTCTTTGGAAGATTGCCTCATCGATTACACGGGCTGCGTTTATACAAATTCACGTAAGATTATCTTCCGAACTTTTTTGACTTTTGGTTTGAAATTGCCCGTAAAAGCTGTCTCAAAAACCACCTCACATATACTGAAAAGATGAGAAATTGTTCACGGGAGATATATGAATTTACACAAGGGATGCTGATGTCCTTCGGACGCAGAGGTTCAATTATCAACATGGGCAATGCACCTTTTGCATGTTAGCATTGTCGCATCGGCGAGATAAATCCCATGCGACAAACTTCGACCAGCATCGGCGTCAGCGAGCACCTTTGCATGCGGTTCCATCTATGCACGGCACTGCCGTAAATAGAAGAGGATAGACGAGCGAGAAGAATCCAAAATAAAGGACGTGAAGACTCCAAAAGCCGTGTAGGAAGATAGATACCAGTGGGTAGGATAGGCCTAGTCCCAATAGAATCAGAACGGGACGCATCGACCTACCTATCATTTGATCACTCACAAGTATATCCTCATGGAACTCTCTACTGTCTCAAATATGTCTGAACAAAGGATAAAAAACGATGCTCGACAAATTGAATCAATGGATCTACTCACACTGGAGCTTCTGAACAACACCATACATTGAGATTAGTGCTCACTGTGTATGGACACCTATTATCAGAGATAAACAACACTGAATGATACAGAAGTTATATTGAAGAATGGAACTGGGACAGAAGCAAGTTGCAGGCGTAGGTGGCTTATGCCCCATGCTGTGAGATACCTCATTGAGTGTATGCGCTTCTCAAACAGATTCTAAGGTTGTCATCCTCGTAGAACACATTTGACATGCCGAACATAAACGGTGATTCAACAATAGAGACAGCCCGAGAGAAAGTAATGGGGGTTTTTGATTATGGCTTCTCGAGTTGCTAATGAAGCAAGCTCGCAGAGATGTGGTACATACAAAAGTGTACACAAAGACGTTTTTCACCTACTTCCTACGTATATTACAAACTACGTATGTACGCGTTGGATAACAATTGTTACCAACGACAACCAGTCACTATTTTACAACTCTTCAGATAGAAATCAACCCAACAATATTGATATCAAATCCCTTCCTTAATCCCTTCCTTCCTACCGCGACGAAGTATCCGGACTAGTGATCTGCTGAGTCGCGGTAAAATTTGTTGGAGCAGATTTCCTGGGTGTGTGCTGTTCCCGAAGGTCACTCATCCGTCTCTTCTCGTTAGCGATTCTCGCCTGTATTAATAATCATTGGAATCATAAGCAAAAGATCCAGTATCCAATCAACTATTAAGAAATTCAGTCACAGCAATGGAGACAACGAAGTGGCGAGTCGAAAATTGCGTACCTTGAGTTTCAGGTCTAAAAGTTCTCTTTCCATCGCCTCAAGCCGATCCTGGAGCTGAAGTAGAGCTGACATCGCGGTTGCCGCGTCAGGATCTCGTGATGTCCTTGGGACGCCCGCAGCCTGAGCACATATACATGATGAAATTTGAGAGTTTAATTCGTGGCAGTGGCCATAAACTTTATTCACCAGTCTTTCTGCCAAACTCTAGGAACCTTCACTGACGGCTACACAATTCTCAAAACTGAGGCCAGCCAAGAAGATTTGATGTCGGAATTTTGAACACATTACGAGAAAGGTCTGCGTTGTGCCAGAGAATGCACAGCTCTAGAGCCTTTAAGCACTGACCTGAATGATGGCTGTGCATAAACTAACAAAGTTTTGCGCCAGTTGTAGTCGGTTCTCCTCTGTTTCCTGCAGTATTATATGCCAACGATATGAGATGTTTGAAATGTAGGGAAGAGCTGTCCTCACCATGCAATATATCAGTTATTGACTCAATTCAGATTCAAGTGCTGGACACACCACTCCTACAGAACTGGGGCCTACGATTCCGTACCTGAAGTTTCTTTCTCAGTCGGTCTTCCTCATCGAAGTTCAAGAATGGGGTCTTCCCTTCAGCGTTTCTGTACCGTGCGAGCTCATCATTGACACGCGTGAACAAAATTTCCGTCCGGCGGAGTTTGCCGCTCAGGTCCTCGTTTTGAGTCTTGAGAGCGTTGTTCTCCTCCTACAGAGGACGAAGTAGAGAAGGATCAGCACAGGAATTCGCACGAAGAGCTCCATCTTATCTGTCCATAATACAGTTTCCAACTACGAGATAATCAAAGCAACGCACCTTAATCTTGGCGTGATGGTGAATTCTCTGCTGCAAATTCTGCTGACCTGATAGTTTCCGGTACTCTTCTTCCAAATCAGACACCTTCTTTCGAAGAGAAACGACTTCCACCTGGATCCGAGAGCATGGTACTCAGTTTCAGGAGCGTCAAATATTAAATTATCAAATTTTGACAGATGTCTTTTAATAAGGAACGAAACCGAAGCAAGAGCTCAGTCGTGGAAGCATGCTCATCTAGTACTGACCTTCAACTTCTCGTTCTCGTTCGCTAAAAGTAAGTCCCTTAGGCGCAACTTTTCGGCGGATACGCGAGCCGTTACAGCCTCTGCCTGCCTACGGTTGATCTCATCCAGCCAGCTGTTTTAGAAATCGAGCAGACAGTGTCAGTGTAGTACAACTCCGTATTCCAGAGACAGTTTGACTTTACATGGCGAGATTCGGATTCAGGTATCGCAGGGCCACTGTACAACACTGCAGTTAGTAGAGAGGAGGTGAGTTGATGAACTGACCTTTCTCGTTCCGTGATCAATTCGTCTAGCCGATCACGCAGTCTCTCTAATTCCTCCTCCTGCAAACCAACGCGGTGCGGTCTTACTGGGTTAGCGACGGAAAAGAGCTAAAAAAGGAGTGAAGTCGGTGTCAGATCGTGTAAGCAGTGTACAGGAAAAAGGATGTGATCGTACCTTCTGATGCGCTTCCGCTGTTCGGCGCCTTGCCTTGTCTGCTATCTGCTGTACCTGCTGTTGGTTCAGTAATGTCTGCAGCAGACATACGTAGAGCGGAGCGATCAGAATCTCTAAGACTGACACATTTCTTTGAATATGGCATATTTCGTTCTCCAGCAATAGTGCTTGGCCCGCTGCTCAGGGGAAAGTACGCTATTTTTTGATTTTTTTCGACCTAGAGCAGGCTTTGGTAAAACTTACAGCGTAGCTTGCTATGTCCATCTTGACTCCGAGAAGGTCTCGGACAACGTCATGAGTCATACTCTCGGCTTCAGCTAGCTTTGTGTTCAGCATGAAGACCTGGAATACAGCAACAATACCAATGCCTTATAGATACCTCCAAATGCAATTTGACGAACAGTTGATTCGAGGCTCATTTGATTCGGATCTAGCGGCCATCCCTGAAGCTTGATGGAAGTAAGTCAATTTGGGTTGTAGGACTGAAGCAAGAGGTCTTACTTCTTTCTGTCGTGCAGCAGCAATAGCTTCCAATTCTCGAATCCTCTTTCTAGCTGAAGAAAGCTCTTCATCAATCTCAGAAGTTCTCTGCTGTACCAGCCCAGATCCGATGCATTTGAAGGGTGAGCCCGATCCCTTGGGTCTGTTGATTGCGTTCTTCGAGTCCGTGGATTTGGAAACGACAGGAACGATGGCGTTCACCTTGCGCTCTTCCATCTTGAGTTGCTCCACCATCGATTCGAGCGCTTTCAGCTGAGGATTGCATGTACCCGGGCCACCGGATCAGTATCACTGTCATTTCTCTACAATTCATGCACCGACCAGAAATACGATCAAAGCTCACGCGTTTGATACAGGTTAATTCCTACCTTTTGTTGGTTTTCAGACGCTTGCTTTTCGGCTCCGGACATCAGCTCCGCTATGTGTGCCTTGCAACTCCTCAACTGCTCAAGACCAAAAGTGGAATCGGTTGTCAACGACATTGTCTACGGACAGAAAATTTGGCAAATTAAAACGTTGCGACCAGCCTACCACTTTTCTTTGAACAGCCATTACCTGCACATCCTTTTCGGCACATTCCTGTTGCAAGCTCTCCACTGTTTGACGCGTTTGCATCTGCTGGTTCTTCATCTCTATGACCATTCTGTGATCAGACGGATCAAGACGAGAGGTAATCAGATAATGCACGAAAATTCTCGCTGATTGACAGCTTTTCAGTGTCCCCCCGTAGACAATACCAATTTAGAGAATAACAGAAGCCGGTCGTTAGTAATGTCGAAGTAATGCTGAGCTCGCATGATTTCAAGAATTTGATGAAGCTGAGGTAGCATTGAAGGGCAAACCTGTCCAGTTCTGTCTTCGCTGTTTTAGCGTCTTCCATGTCACGCGCTGTCTGCGCATCCTGTCTGTCTATGGTTATCTTCATCAACTGCAATTGCTGTTTCGCTGAAACCAAATCCGATTCCGCGTCCTCCTTGGCACGACGTTGCCTTTCAGACTCGCGCTTTACAATGCCGAGCTGAGGCAGAAGACAAAATTTCAGAATCTTTCAGATTCATTCGACGCAAGTAACCAGGTAAACTCGTGAGCTTCGACACCAAATGAAATTTCAAACATACCTGACTCTCAAGTGCATATACTGTGCTTTCGAGTTCCTCAACTGATCTTTCCAAAATCCTGGCCTCTTCCTCCTTCTTCTCCGCATGACTCTTGCTGAGCTCAGCAATCTGATAAACATCCAGAAAAGAATAACTTGAGATCCAGCGAGATGAATTCCTTTGTCCGGAGGCAAAGAAAGAAGTGAAACGAAAAGGCACACTGCGTGGTATGCATCTGCATCTGTAGTCCGGTGTAATATCTTGGAACATCGTGATGACTACCTGTCGAGCTTCTGCTGCAACGATTTCCCTTTCATCCGCAGTAGTCTGACTCATTTCCAGTTGCTCGGTGAGGACTACGACGTCTGTTTGGAACTTGTCCCGTTCCATCTCAGCGGCCTTTAGCTCATCTTTCAAACTCTGAATGGCGTGAATGGAGTTTTCCTGTTGAAGCATGAGGTCATCTGCCAGAAGATCAACATGATTCCTTCTCTCGTCCAGCTCCTCCTCCAAAGCAGAGCACCTTAACTGGAGTTCCGCCGCTGTATGCTGGAGATTATATATTTCCTCCTTGAGATTTTCAAACATCCTTTGAAGCCCCGAACTCCTAATAACGTTTTCGATCAAACTCACCTCTTGTAATAAGGAGGACAAGTCAGGTGGCTGAGACAAGGTATGCTCGAAGAGCTCTACAGTGTTCAATAAGGTTTGCTGCAAAATTTCAATCTCATGCTTGTGAACTGTCAACACATCAGCACTGTGACCAACATGTCGCACCTGCTCCTCTCTCAGCCTGTTCATTTCATGTTCTTTGCGATGCAGTTCTTCTTCGAGGAAGCTGAGATGCTTTACATCATGCATTTTTTGATTCAGCTCTCCCTCGAGATTTTCCATCCTACTCTGGACCGTCACAAATTCTGACTTCATCCTCGTGTTCTCTAGCAGAACACGTTCTAGTCCTTCGACGATGGAGTCCACCTGTTGTTCGTAAACATTAAGTGTGTACTCACGATCACCTACTCTTTGGACGCTCTCAAGATCAGACAAAGCAGCAGTCCGGTTTACAGAAGAAACTCCTTGCATCTTCTTCAGAATTTTGTTCAGCTGCTTAGAAACCCACCTCCGCTCGTTCTTGATTTCCTCCACGGAAGTCGCCTGATCCGCCACCAGCTCAACGAGATGCTTGTCTTTAAGGAGCATCTCCTGTTGTAGACTTTCAATAAGGGCTAGTTTCTTGCAAACAATTGTTTCAGTTGCGCTGGTGAGGTCTAACAAACCCTTCATCTGACCCCGCAGTTCGTGAATAGCACTCGTTGCATGACAAAGTTCCTCCTGGGATACTTCAATGTTTCCAAACAAGATGTTTTCAGAGTGCATTTGCACTTCTTCAAACTCTTCTCCAACTGACCCCAGCTCTATTTCGGCTGATCTAAAGCCTTCGGCACCAACCAAAGCTTGTGTAAAGACATCTCTTACAAAAAGGTTATGGGATTGTTCCATTTTCGAAACACACGTTTGCAGACGATCGTTCTCATCAGACACTGTCTCTTGAGACATTTCAGCGTTCTTCAGCTCTTCCTTCAATCGCTTTTGTAAGTCGAGCTGCTGCGCCAACTCACGTTGAAGCAAGTCAGTTTCCACTTGCAGGGTCTGCAACCTCTTGCCCAGAAGGGCTTGCTGCTTCGAATTCATCTCCTCTTCACAAATGAGTTTCTCTTCCAACTCTTCGAAGGCATCCTTCCTCATTTCAATGTCTTCTTCCAGAGAAGTAACTATACCCTCTAAGTCAGAAAGGCGAAGCTTCAGACTTCCATTCTCTTGCATAAGCTGTTCAACATTCGCCTTCATGTCCTCTAACTCCTTGTTCTTGACTTGAAGCCTTTCAACCGCTTCTTGGGCCCCTTGATGTTCAATACTTTGACATCTTTCTTGCTTCGAGATCTTTTCCTTCTCTCTATTCAGCTTTGCTTCCACGTCAACCACAGCCTTCTTTCTTCTTTCAATCTCCTCCTCACGATCGAGTAGTTTACCCTCGAGCTCGATCATCTCACATTTCAACTCGTCATTTTCCTTTATTAAGGACTTGCACTTCTTCTTGAACTCTTGTATCTGTAGCTTCTCCTGGTTGTTGACGAAAACGAGTCAAGTCAGTGATACGGTATGGACAGAAAATGGTCCAGCTAGAATTTGATGAACTTCATACAAGTGATGTTACAGATTTTATTTTCAATTGAGGTAGTAGTCTAAGGATATGGTGGCTAACCTCCGAGTTTTTCTCCTTTACTGCGCTTTCTCTGATAAGCTCCATCTCCTGCTGAAGACTGTACTGCGAAGCAGCTTCCTCGTCCACTTGAGTCTGGAGCAGGTCTCTTTCTTCTATCAGCCGCCGACATTTCTCTTCCAAAATGTGTATAAGCTCAGCATGGTCTTGCTCCGTGGCTGCCAATTTCTCTTCTAAGTCCTTAACGGTTCTCATGCCCTCTTCAAGCTCGACCTTAACCTGAGAAGCTTTCACTTGAAATTGATCCCTTTCCGCTCTAAGTTCTTGAACCTTGTCATGGAGAGTCTCATTCAAATGCGTATTCTCTTTCTCAGCCATTGCGAGCTTCTCCTCCAGACATCTGACACGATTCCTCTCTTCTTCAAGATTCTCCTTCATTGCAGTCGTTGCAGTCTCAAAACTGGCCTGTTTCCTTGATACGTCTTCTTTCGACGCAATAATCTCCTCTTCTAATCCAATCAAGGCAGTGCTTTGAATTATCAGTTGGGCCTCGAGCTGATTGATCAACTCGGTAGTGTCACTCTCGGGCCTCACAAGCTTCTCTCTCAGATCCTTGACAGTTGATCTTTCGTTTTCCAAATCATCTTTCAGCTGGGAAACCCTCACATGGAGATGTGACATTCCAACTGAGTCTTCAGGACTTTCTGTTTCCAAGGCCTTCAGCGTCATTTCAAGCTCAGAATCAGACTTCGCTTTCCTCTCCTCATGTTCTGCAACGTCAGCTCGTAGACGCAATATCTCATCTTTCAGACTTACCAGAAGTGCATTTAGACCCACCATCTCGACATGAAGTGCATTCTTTTCAGCTGACAAGGATTGGACAGATTCGTCTTTCTCTAATTGGAAGTCATTCAGCCGAACCTTGCACTCCTCGACCTCTGCCTCCAGCTGGATGATCTTTGCCTCTGCCTCAATTATCTCCACTTGGAGACCTGCGACAATGTCTGATAGTGCAGCGTTATCGGTGTTGGCGGCCTGGAGTTGACGATGAAGCATGACGATAGCCTCCTCTTTGTCTGCTACAAGTCTATCACGTACATCAAGAGCGTTTCTTGTAGCATCTAGCTCAAGATCCAGCAAACTTATGCGCTCACTGAGTTTTTCTATCTCAGAGTCCAAGGTCCTCAAGGCTGCACTTTGCTCAGTAGAACAAGCCTGTAGAGCATCCCGTTCAACTGTCAATTCGAAAATGCTGGAGTTTGCACCCTCAACATAGTCGTCCACTTCACTGTGCGCGAGTGCAAGCCTCTGCTCTAGAAATTGTATGTGAGATTGATTGTCCTTAATCTCTGCCTTCAGTTCTCTGACATTGGAATCAATTGCTGAAGACTTCGCATCCACTGCAAGAATGTGATTCTCCTTTTCTGCCCGGAGTTGTGAAAGCTCAAGCTCAAGACTTTCGGCCTCATTTCTTCCCTCCTCCAACTCCTCTTTCAGGAGCTCTATATTTGCTTCAGCATTTGTGATCTCGACCTTCAGCTGCGAAAGGCTATCTTCTGCAGTTGACCTCTCGGTAGAGAGCTGTTGGATCGTGTCGTTCAGATTGTGGATCATAATTTCCATCTCTCCTGATGCACACTCAAGTTCCTCCAGTTTTTCTCTTTGAACCACAAAGTCATTCCTTTGCTCCAATAAGTCCTTCTGCACTTGAGCCAGGTTCGCCTCGGAATCTGAAACCTCCTTTCGGAGAAGCAGTAAATTCTCTTCAGCAGCAACCTTCCAAGCGGTCAATTCCCGCACTCTCTCGTTGAGAGAGCTGACGACATCGTCTCCAGTTGTGACCTTTCTCTCAAGGTCCTCGACTTCGTTGCTCCTCTCATTCAAGTCATTGTGAAGAGCAGCTATTTCTGACTCGCAAGTCAGAAGTCGATCTCTCAATTCTGAGGCTTCCGAAAGAGCAGCGACTAATTTTCCTTCCAAAACCTCCGTTTGCTGTTCAAGAGAGAGAAGGATTTCTGTGTTTTTCGCCTCATTCGATTCCGCAGCCTGAAGATCCCAGCACTTCGTTTCGAGTTCTAGAGCAGAAACTGCCAACTTCGCTTTAAGCGCTTCCATTTCAGAGAGTTGTTCCTGAAGCCTAGTCTCAGATGCCAGTAGATCCTCACACAAGGATGCATTTTGGTTCGTAACCTCCACAATGGTCCTCTTCACCTCGGTGACTATCCCGCAAAATGTTCCTAAGTCCAAGCCAAGCTCCTTGGGCAACAATATTATTTGAGAGAATTCGCTCTTAATATCTTTCACTGCATCTGAAAGAATCTGCATCTGCTGCTCATGTTCCACACTCAGAAGACAAACTTCTTCTTGGATTGAGGAGAGCATATTCGTAGCCTCAGACAATTCAGCCGCAGTGTCACGGAAAATGGATAGCGTCTCTTCTTCACGTTCTTTCATTTCCATTTTCAGGCAATTGATAGCTGCTACAAGCCGATCCTTCTCCGGTTCCCACACCCCCTGAGAAATGTTTAGTGCCTCTTTCTCCCACTTCCAGTCCTGTGCGTTGTGTTTGGCCGTTTCGTTCGCTCTAACCAAGAGATTGACTAGGACCTCAGCTTCCATCAGGGTAACTTGACTATCCTGGAACTTTTGATTCAACACGGCAGCTTCAAGACCCTTCTCTCTAGCCTCCAGTTTTGCCGAATCCACTTCCTTCACCAGCTCTTCCTTCTCACTCTTCCATGTGCTTTCTGCTTCGAGAATCTTTACTTCCCAGTCACTGACGATGTCTCCAACCTTCTGCATTTCCTCCTCAAAGGCTTCGATTTGTGCCTGCCTCCTGTTAACATCCTCTTCGGCTGCTTTCAGGTTCTTGGTTATTTCGTTGATAGTAGCCTCATTCTCTTCACAAGTCCTCCTTAAACTGACATTCTCGGCCTGCAGCTTATCCATCTCCAATTCAGCTTCCCTCAGATTTGCTATTGCTATCTCCATTTCTTTCCTAGCAGACAAAATGGTGTTATCTTTATCAGCAAGCTTCCTCCTCAACCCTTCAACTTGGACTTTCAGCCTTTGGATGTGCTGTTGAGGAACGTCCTCGTTGCAGGAAAGGTCTCTGAATTCCGCAACATTCTCTTGGTTGGCCTGGTCCAAACTCGCAGACATAGATTCCACCTCTTTCAGCTTCTCGACAAGTTGCATCTTTTCAGCCTTCCAAGTTTCTTCGGAAAGGGCATACTGTTGAAGTGCATTCTGCAGTGCTTGGACTCTACCTTCAGCCTCCGCACATCGACTTCCCAAGACGTCAGACACAGCTCTCAGGTCCTCGAGTTCTTCTTCTCGAAGTTTCAAGTTCGAGATGGTCGAAAGAGCATCCTTATTGACCTTCGCAAGCTCCAGCTCAACATCGGTCTTTAGGGCGCTCAACTGTTCAAAGCTGGCTGTAACGGACTTCAACTCCGTGTCATAAGTGGACAACTTCGTTTCAGCTATGGCCAGCTGATCTGTCAGCTGTGCTTCGCTGTTGAGGTACTCTTGCCGAAGTGATTCCTTTTCCTCATTAAAGCGCTCCTTCTCAGACATCCAGGATATCCTCTCCGATTTAAGTTCCAAATTCACAGAGTCGAGTGACTTCTGCATGTCCATCATCTGAACTTGCACCATCTCAAACTTCTCCTGCAGTTCAATCAGGTTCTTCTCCCTCTCTTCCAGCCTATGGACATTCACACTAGCTGCAAGTTCTAACTCCGTGACATACTGTTCCATTTTACCCCTGGCAATCTCCAGATTCTTCAGCTCCTCATCTAAAGCTGCTAATTTCATCTCTGATTCCTCTACTGCCTGCTGACTTCTGCCTAAAGTCTCGAACATGGTGTGCTCTTTCTTCTCCACCTCTGCGTTCAATTGCCGGATGTCAGATGCAAGCTTCAACTTCTCAGCCTTCATGTCCTCGATCTCCTGCTTCACGATAATCTTCTCAGAATCCCAATGCTCCTGTGCATCGCTCAATTCCTCCATCCGCATAGATATCACTTGCTCTCTTATTTCTGCTTCACGAACTCTCTCTTGCAGTTGACAAAGATCTGCCTGAATTTGAACAAGAGCCTGCTCCTTCTCTATACAATTTTTCTCTGCTTGTTGAGAAGCAATAATGAGTCGATCTCTTTCAGACTCAAGCTCCGCTGTCGCTATGGTCAAGGCCTCAAATCCGAGAAGCATCTCAGAAATCTTAGACTCAGCATGTTTTAAGTTAACCTCAAGTGTCTGCACTTCAGCACGTAGAGAAGTGACCAATTTTTCCTTGCCCACATTCTCTTGAAGGCTGTACTCCTTCTCTTTCGCCAAAACAGCCCTCTCTTCTATCCATTTCTGATTATTAGCAACTTCTTCCTTCAGAGCCAACTGAGAAGCTTCATTTTCTTGTCGAGCGCGATCAAGCTCTTCAACCTTCAGTTCCAGAGTTGTGGTTGCGAACGAGAGCTTTGATTGCAAAGCCCTTATCGCTGATCTGTAAGTTACCACATCCTCTTCCAGATCTCTAACCTTGGAAACCCCACCTTGCAGGACATTTGCAGCTGACTCGAAACCAACGCTGCTTACTTCGAGCTGTGAAATACTAGCCAGAATTTCATCGAATTCGGACATCAAAGATACGACAACTTGCTCTCTCTCAAGCATCACTTGTTCGTCTTTTGCGGCCCTTTCCAGACAAGCGAGGGCCCTGCCTTCCACTTCACCTACTTGTTTCTCAGCATCTATTACCAGACCCTCAACTTGCTCAATCAAATCGTAGCTTCGACTCAGCTTCAGTTCCAAATTCTCGACTTGGAACTTCAACACGGCACTTTCCCGGACAGCATCTTCGAGCTCAATTCTCAATCTGTCATGTCCCTCCACAAGGACCTCATACTGCCCGGCGATTAGTTCTTGGTTAGAAAGGTCATCTTCTAACTTTTGCTGTAGGGCCTCAATAATGGAGTTTTTCTCATTAGTGTTGGAGTCTGCTTCCCGCTTTTCTTCCAGAAGACTCGCGTTGACTACATTCAGCTCTTTGATCCTGTCCAGAAGGTGCTTGACCAACACAAATGCTGCCATCGATTTCTTCTCTAGGTCATTGATGACATCCTGGGCTACTCTGTGCTGCGGAGAAACCTCATCTAGAGCCCGAACACTTTCTTCTGTTTCTCTCGCCAGATACTGGGCATCCTGGAGGTGTTGGTAGAGGAGCTCAAATGCCTTCTGCTTCTTCGACACGACATTACTTGCGTGGTCCAGTGAATCTAGCTCTTTCCATGCACCTACAAGTCTGGGTGAGAATGAATCCTCAATCATGTCATCCATCTCTTTGGCAGCTTCTATTAGTTCTTCATCTCCCTCTGCAAGGTAATCAATAAGCTTTGCTGTTGCACCCTCCCAGTCCTTCTGAAGATTGCGAATCTCAGCATCTTTCTCATTCCTCACCGTTTCATAACTAGCCTGCAACTCTTGATTTTGATGACCAAGATTTTCAAGCTCGTGCTTCAGCTGTAGGAATTCCAACTTAGCAAAAGCTTCCGACTCGACAGCAGCAGCCAACTCCTCTCTCAGATCAAAAATTTCTGACTGCATGGAAGTTAGAGCTAAAGCTGTCTCAGTTTCCACCTCTGATCTGGTTAGCTCCATTTCTTTCTCATGCGCAATACGCGATGCTCTCTCTACTTGAAATCTCTCATTTGCTGCCCTCACCTCCTCTCTTTCTCTCCTTGCTTTCTCCAACTTCAGCTCCAAGGTGCGGTAGGCAGGATCGTTCTGGGCGCTTTTGTGCGCGCGTTCAGATCTGCTGCTGGTCCCTTCCACTCTAGACAACCTCCGAGCCATGTCTTGTAGCTTATCTTCAAGCATCAACACTTCACTCTCTGACTCCTTCAACAGGCTAGAAACCCTTGTAAGCTCTGCTTGCATCTTCTCCAGTTCATAAAGAGAAAACAATTGTTGCCCTTCAAGTGCCTCGACCAGACTTTGTCCATGTTCTGCCTTCGAAGTGGCTTCATCCATCTGCTCCGTCAACTCCTCTACCTTCTTTGTGGCTTCCAAACGTTGTTGTTGTTCCTCCTTCAAGACATCCTCGACAGATTCGAGCTCAAGCTGCAAGCGCGTAACTTCTTCAGAGTGTCTCATCTCCAGCTCCTGAAGTTTTTGCCGCCTACCTTGTGAAGGCTCTTTTCCAACATCTTCAGCTAATATGCTCGACTGGACATCCATCTCCGAATCTTGTTCAAGTCTTGCTGATAGTTTCTCTATGAGATCCTGAGCATCCTTCAGCTGCGATCTTAACTCAGCCTCCTGAGAACGAAAAAAGAGTGAATCAGAATGTAAAGATCAGCCCAAGTACTGGTTTAGACGAGATGAACGTCTTACAATCAGAAGAATGCAAGACTATGAGAATCGACACCTTCAGGGAAAGATCTACTTGTCTTCAATGTGAACTCAATTTAATGACGTACCTGGAAACGCCAGATCATTGCTGCTTCTTGGACGCTCGTTAAGGACTGCCTCTGCTGGAGAGCTATCTCTTCGGCCTCCGTATGAATCTGCTCGACGGAAGATTTCCAGACTATGTTAAAATGTATATTGAGCCAATGCTGTTCTTTCGTAACACACGACTATACGAGTACCGGTTCTATAGCTACACAATGAATAAATACTACAACAATACAGAATTTGGAGGCATTTATCGAAGATAACCTGGGTCGTGGCAGGACTAACTTCGGTACTGTGAAGTTTCTCAGCGACTCCATCAGAGGAGACCCATTGCTTAGAGCTCTGCGTTTTTTAGCAAGTGCTTATATCAGACGTCTGTGCAACAAATGAACGTAAAATAGTGCTCCCCTACGAATTAGATGCTGAGTGACGAGATATTAGTTGGAAGTGATTGGACAAATGTGGAAAGCCACACTTCATGTGTATGAAGCAAATAGAGTAACATCTTGTGAGAAATCTCCTTTACCGGATAACTGGGGAGGAAAACAATTCGAAATATACATATTACAAAAAAGTCTGTACGCCTGGCACTGGAAATTTCAACGACTCATCAACTTCGATTATTAGAGATAGTTCATTTCTCAGATCCTAACCTCCAATTCGGCGCGCAGGTTCTCCGCATCTCGAAGAGCAGTTTGAAGTTGCTCCTCTAGTTGTTGACCAAGCTTTGACTCAATGTCCCAGCGTTCTTCATTCTGCTTTTGGAAGATGGATGAAGATAAGCACCGAAGTTTATAGCTTTAAAATTCCAGGTATAAACATACGAATTTCCGTGCAGATACTAACCTTCCGAAGTTCTGATCTCAACTCCTCGATTGTACTTTGACTTCGCTCCTGATTGGTAGAACCCAGCGCCCTCTCCTCGTCGCAGGCGAACTGTTAATTGCAGACATGTTAGAAAGCTTTCACCGATTGCACCGATTTCACGATTGCGTGCTGGCATCATCAACCAGTTTACTTCTGTTGGATAGAAAGGCAACGAGGATCCATACCTTGAGCGTCTCTATTTCTTTCTGCTTGCCTGAGCATTCAGCCTTCAGCTGAGTGATCATAGCTTGCATTTGATCGACTTGCCTGATAAAATCATGATATGACAAAATTAAAATACTTCACCTTTACAAAAACACTGCATAGAACTCGTGCTGACTTTATCTGTGCTGATAAGTAAAGATAATCGAAGTGATGTATACAGTCACCTACCGTGTCAGCTCGGCATTAGCCACGAGGCAGTTGTTGAGGTTCGTTCGACACTCCTTTACCTCTTTTTGATAACCTTCCACCTGCCCAAATTCCGCCAATTGTGATCGTAAGTACAAGCAAATATACTTGCCGGATATCAATCCTCAGTGGTCAAGTTCACGCCTCGCGACAGCCAAATTCGTTTTACCTCGATTAGAAGTAGCTCATTCTCTCGTGCACGTGCAGCAATCTCCGGAGCAAGTGCTCGTTTCTAAGAAATCAAAAAAAAAAAACAGTTTTCACGTTAGACAACACAACTACGGGATCGAAGAAGCGAGAGCTGGACTGCTCGCGGTTCCCGCCACCGGAGCCTGTCATATTAAACGCCTCTACACAGGTATAATGAACAGCCCTCATGGATCTGCACGTCCCGACGGGAAGACTTTATGATTGATAAGATTGTACGGCAGGAGTACCTGTGGCGTGGTGAGTTGTCCCTGCTCCTCTCCCAACTTCGCGTCGAGAACATCCAGCAGCTGTCGGAACACGTCATGCCCAAGGCAAATGCTTAATTAAACGGAACTGACACAACTTTAAGAGCCTCCCTATTGGTCATGATTGACTACTCCAGTGCCAACAACGATACGACGCACGCAGTACTCGAGTACAACATCTACTCGAGTCAACCATATACCAGCATGTCTCGTGATGGACTTCCATGCCATGCATGCAGAATTCCACAGGTCCGTGCTGAAGGATGTATCAGTTACCTGATTCCGGAGTCCCGAAATCTCCTCAAGCAACACAGCCTTCTCGCCGCAGTCGTAGAATTCTTGGTACCTGCTAGTGCACTGTATGTGAGATGGGAAAATGTTGCTGGGACCTTAGAGATATTTACGGGTTTATTCACATCCAGAGGACGAAGGAGGGGATCTGTATTCGAAAATTGTGACCAGATCAGACTTGTACTATATCAGATCAGACAGGTACTGTACCTGCGCAACTGCTCCATCAAACGTATGTTCTCCATGGCAAATCGAGTCAACTCGGGATTGCGATCAATACGGGCGCGAATCAACTGCAGTTCGTCCATCAGAGATTTCTGCTCTTCCTTGTAGAAGTATTCAGCCGAGAGCACTCCATCTGCCACGCCCTCAAGTCTGCGGATTTTATCCTCTCGGAAGCGAAGCATCATTTTTGAACACTGTGAATCCTCTTCACGTTGGTGAACCTGTACATGGGTTGGACGAAGTTAAACGTCTTGCCGAATAGCACAAAGCACCATGACAACGTTTCCTGTAATCATACGACATGCGTTTCGAGTGCCAAACTGAACTCCCGAGAATGTTCTTCGCGGAGTTCAAAAACGAATTGATTGTGTTTTTTTCGCATACATGGCGTCAGCTACAGAGGTTTCGCAGATCCGTTGGATGGGTAGGTTTACCAGACGATTCAGCTGTTCAATTTCTGCAGCTAGTTTCTTTGTCACGTCCTCTGCTACTTGCTCTCTCCGCAGAGCACCAGCCAGAACTGCTTCCATGCCCTTGAGTTTCTGGGAAGAAATCAGATATATTTTAGAGTCGGCTATAAACATTCTTTCCACTCTCAGGATACTCGAAGCATAATACGTAAGTGCCAAACGAACGAAAGATCCAAGTACCTTCTCGATGATGTAAGCCTTCGTCTTGACATGAGCTGAATCAGGAGAGTGGCTGTTCACAGCTCCTGAGTCTACATTCTCCCCACTGGAATCACAATCGATTGAACCATTCTGAAGTGAAGAACCGAATCTCATTGATGGTGTTCTGGAGATGCTCTCTCGGCGCAGACGATCTACTTCAACCTGTATTTGGAAACCCACGTCAGCCAGAGTGTCTGTAACCACTGGCGATTCAAGCACATGCCTCCAGCAAACAACTGTGAAGAATGTGTAGGGTCATCCTACCTTGAGCTCCTGAATCTGTTGGCGCAATACTATCACATCTCCAGAAGCGTCTTCGTTTATGACAGCCTGTTAAATACAGAAATCCGATTAGGATGCATTGAAGACATGGAATCTTGAGACTACATGATCGGCCACATGTAAATTTGATTTATGCTTTGAAATCTGAATGCAGCTGGTAAATTTGGGTTGAAGGAAATTGAAGAGTAAATTCGTGGTCACAAGAGTCTGGTAGCCACTGCCTTCGACTCACATTGTTACGAATGAACTTGGCTCTTTGGGCAAATTTTAACGTACTCAAAGTCTCCATAGCACAACTGCGAGTCAAGTGAATGAACACAGCATCAGATTAACGGCTGATAGTCAGCAGAAATAAATGTAAAGTGATGACAAAATATACCGTGCAAACTTCCACTTAAGTTCAGAGCTTAATTCGGGCCGCTCCCGATTGAAAACCAATATACTCTTCTTTATCAGCATGTAAATGTATGTTCAGTTGCGCTGGGTACAAATATCCGGCGGAGACGTCAACAGTGAAAGTATGCCATTTCGTGAAATCTCAAGCCTAATATGATGGAGTCCGAGAGCATGAGATACTCTCCGCACGCGAATCTAGTCCCATATATTCATTCATCAGATTTAATACACCTGGGTATTATTGCATATCTGACAGATAAGACTGGTTGTTTACTCACTAAGAATGTTTTCATTCTAGGATTTGGAGTAAACAACCTGAACGATCAGTTGTCAAACTTCAAATTTCCACGACCCTTTGCCCAGCGAGTACAGGAGATGACACTTACCAGCTGGAAGGACTGACATTAGCAATCATGATTGTCTTGGAATTACCACCCAGAGAATCCTGAGGATAGGCATCGGAACAAAGCGCATGTCAGCATGATAGTCAGGGCTCCATCCGCAGCTTTAAGTCACAGGCAATTAAGTGTAATTTGATTCAACCTATGTTTGGCTGCAGAAAGGTTGCATACCTGAAGAAGAAATGTGAGCTTAGAATCTCTGTAAGGGACATGCCGCTGCTTTCCATTGGCAACGTCTACGAGTATCATGATGACCAATCTGTACAAAAGGATATATGAGCGTTACAGCATGAAACACGGAACATTTAAACATCTCAGGATAAAAAGTTGCATGTTTCAAGCTGAGTCCCTTTAACCCGGCATAGGAAAAAATGATGGAGATTGAAGTGCCTACGTACCCTAGGGTTGACAGAGATTTGTTGATATTTGCAGCTTCTTTCAAGCGCCCACCCTCAGCACCTGAGCTCTTCTGTCTGCGCTTACATCATGAGGAAGTAAATTCAGGTCACCTATGCGGGTAAATGCCATGTCTTGACCTCAAGAGGAGCGAATTATTCAAATCGTAGTCTCCAAACTTAAAATCCCACTCTATGAATTGATATAATAAACTCTTCGCAGAAATTACGACACGGTCATTACCTTTCAGACCCAGCAAGGTCGACCAAATGTAGCCGACCATATCTCGAGTTTGTCATGGCGTTGCTCTCCCACTACACAATGCAGTTATAATTGATGTTTATAAAGCTTCAAGGGAGCATTCTTATCACGATCAGTATCGTTCATTCTTCTTCAGGTTGATCAAGAAATAAGCTCATCGTGCAGAAGTGTTAAAGAGCTACCTTGCTTTCCACAATGCAGGTGAAGACGCTGTGAGAACGACTGCTCTCTCGATTCATGTTGGTTGACGCAACCTTTCTGTTAGCGGCACCCTGTAAGAATCAAGAACTGTCAGAATTCCAACATGCAAAATGGTCCTCTGCTAGATTTGTATGTCGAGCGGAGACAAACTCTGCAGGTAATCAGAGCAGCTGTCGTTTAGCAAATCAGCACCTGAAGAAGGAGCTGAATAACATCTTGAACTCCTTGCACTTCAACTTCGGATAAATTTTCAACGTAGACTCCTTTCTTCGCGTCTTCTCGCAGCTGTGATAAAGAGTTCAAATCACACAAACTTTGTCAAAATTCTAAGATTCTTGGGTTTTGTCAACTCCATGCTGTCTTCAACTAGCGCATTGTGACAAGAAACGAAGATTCAGATTTTGTACTGCAGACACATGAGATTATTGCATGCACTCACTTGCAGGTTCGTTGACGTAGGCTCCAAGAGGTCAGTAATTTGCTCGTTGTAGATTTCCAAAAAAGAACACTTGCAGAAGTATTTCAGCTGCTCAGTTCTGCGGCTTTCTTGCTCCTGTTAATGAGAGAAATACTCGCCACTTTAGGATTGTTCGGATTAGTTCAAAAGCTTTGAATCGAAGACGGTTTCTTTGCATTCCGAATCTGATTTGGAAAGAATGGACGGTATTTGTCACAATTACCATTTGAATTTTGGAGAAGAGGTACTCAAAAACTCGAGGAGTCATCCCCCTCTTATCACTTGGCCGGAGATCCAGATCATCAATATCTCCAAGCATCGTATGTGTCTTTCCACTACCCGTCTGCCCGTAGGCGAACATGCAGCTGTTGTAGCCGGACATACAATTTTCCACCATTGGCAAACCTGCTACCTTGAATAGCTTTTCCTGAACAATGATTTTTATGGACTGTCAGAATCGGTCTGATGCCGGAAGTCACGGAGATATATTACGAAGGTTTACAATTTCTAAATGTACCTGAGTAATGGCTTCACCAGCAACATGATCGAATGTGTAGCGGGACTCCGGTTGACCAAGCCAAGTCAGAGTGTGCGGACTTTCCTGTCTCAGGCATCGACTCGATCCTTGAGATGCCAGTTCACTGCTGCTGATGGGTCGCGTTCGGATTAAAACCTGAGGAAGATGACACGGCCAGTTTAGTGTCAAGGTGCAAATGTTACAACTTCAAGGGCATTGACCACTCTCACCACTCCTTGACATGCGCCTTGCTTGTGGAAAGAGACTGCTAATGTCACATCGCGCAGGTGAAGGACAAATAACACGGTGTCGCTCTTATTATTTTACTTGATGGATAGTGCTACGGTGGATACAAACAAGTGGAGACGACTACCATCTGCCCAGTGGGAAGATGAACATCCCGTAAGGCAGATGCGGCCGTAGAATGTACAGAATAATAGGGGCAAAGGACGAACAGATTTCAAATGTTAAATTATGTCCCATTTCTTCCCATTGAACTCAGGGGTGGATTATTGCGCCACAAACTAGTTCTTGGGGGTATAATGCAGGACAGAGGAAAATATTTCAATGAACATTTTCCTGAGAGGAGGAAGGCAAAGGAGTTAGAGCGAGATACACACCTGGACATTGTGATCACTCCAGAAACTTGGATCTTCCTCCAGATCAAATTGCTGCTCCACGAAATTCTGATTGCTGATTTGGCAACCAGCGCCAGCACCCCTGACAGCCGGTAAAATGCCCATGGTTCTAGTAATAACGTGCTGTGAACCTGTGGAGCGGACATTGGCAAGTCCCGCCGTGCCAGCATTACTGGAACTAGGCTGCGTTTGGCCATACTTGAGAGCCCTGGAAACACTCTTCCCCGGAGTGCCACCCTGCAGCCCAGACTCCGAATCATACCCGGACCTTGCTGCCCTGGATGACTTGGGAGTAGTCTGGGTACTACCCGCTGCTCTAGCGGAATTGGGCACACTCTGCTGCTGGTTCACAGTGTTACTGTTAGACAATACTCCTGAGGAGACCTGATTACCATCGGCGGAAGATTGTTTGGACCCTCGCGGTGGCGTGTACACATCTGATCCACTTTCTACTGACACATTTTCCTGCTGAGCGCGGACACGAGCCTGTGCAGGGGAGCACCTAGAGCCAGAACCTGTGGTCACACTAGAAGGATGATGAGTTTGCCAAGAATACTTGCTCTTGGAACTTGAGGGTCCGGTGGCATTCTTATCAGGAGTGCCACTAGGAGGACCAACATTAACCGCACCTTCTGAATTCTCCAAATGTGGGTACTTTTCCTGAGCGTTGAACGACAGCTTTGCTTTGGCTCGGGGAGTGGCACTGTCTGCTTTGCTGCGGATTGAGGCTGCTGCATCTGCAGGTGATTGTTCCATGGACTGAGGGGGTGTGAGGGGGTTTCGCAGACTCTCAGGAATTGGGCAGAGAGGATGTCTTTGGGGAGTTGTGGATACAGAGGGCTCCGGACCTGTAGAAGAAGTTCCATCGGGTTGATCCGGTGCTGATTTCTTGGACGTGCTCCGCATGAACAGCCGAAGTGGAGAAATACCTTTCGCCATGCTCCTTCCCTGATGTTGCAGACGTTGATAACCGGCCACTGTTTCCCTGTAAAATACTAAAGCTCTAACCACTTTTCTGATCCCGGAGTGATCAAATTCTCCGTCTGCTCAGATACCTGAACCGCTTCCGCTGCTCCCAATTTGCCCTTCTGCATACTTTTCAGGCACGCAGCTCGCCTCACCTCACCTCACCTTTAGATAGCCCAAGTCTTCGAAGAATGTTCAAAAGAAAAATCTCTCTGTATAAACTTCAGCGACTCATGAGATCATGAGCACACCCCACCAAGAGGGGCAATTCGTAGCCTGCAAAGCTTCATGAAATCAACCAATTTGTTTACACAAGAGTAAACATCCCAGTGACAACATCCGTTGACACAAACACATTTACAACATTTCCCTGCGCGCTTCCCAGTAGTCTCTTCAGACTCAATCACAATCCGAGCTCTTGATCACCCGCTCTGTTATCCTTCTCTCGGCGAGTTCCAGTTACATCACAACGCGAATCGCTCTCTTTTCTAGTCCCTCTGCTCTCCACTCTCTCGCTCTCTTTCTCTCTTGATCTCTCTTAATGTTTCTCTCTTATCTCAATCACAATCTTCTTTCTCACGACCGACCCGCGGAGAAGTAGCCCTTGGGATGCGGGCGTGCTGTGCGATAAAAATAAACTCTGACGTTCCCTGGCAAGACGAGAGATGTTTCTTGTCAGACTCAACGAGGACGAGAAAGGGAAAGAGAAAGCAGCGCCATATCTCCGAGCAGTCCGGGCTCGTCCAGACTATAGGCCGAGCGACGACGACCCCCAGCAGCAGCAGAACAAGAACGCCGAGCATCATTCCCTCCGCTGGCTCCCATCGTCGCGCCGCGCATGGGATCCCCAACGGTAAGTTCCGGAATTAAAGAAGCGGAGAAGAAGACGAATTTCTGGCGCAGGCGACGAAGGCCGCTTGGGATTATTATTACCGAGGGGCGCCAGGGGGCGGGAATGAACGATGTGAGCCTCACTCGAGACTCGAGCGCAACACCTCCCAGACGACAGCGGCGCGACACGTGGCCTCCCCCGGGCCAGTTCAAATTTCTCTCGGCCGGGACTCCAAGACCCGATCATTCGATCGAGTCGCCGTGAACTCCATGCCCTCGCTAAGGTGAGGGGATTTGAATTCTAGCGGTCCGATCTTCATGGCCCCACCCTCGCCCGGCTTGGCTACCGTTGGATGTAACCTTTGGCTGAACACGAGTCAGCAAGTGCGACGCCTCCGGAACCCGAGTGAGTCAGAGGGGAAGTGTTTTTATTGTCGGCCTCCTAGTCTAGGATTCAAACTGCCAACGGTCTCCTCTCTGTGCAACGGCTAGTGTCACTGTCCTGGGGGTGCTCGTCCGACAAAGAGATGTGCACTTTTTTGGCGACTGCCATGTCTGACGTCATCGTGGCAGTCGCGCCAGCGAGTGACAGCATTTCGGGAATTCTTGCAGAGTCCGTTGCAAGAGTCATCGAACGACTGTGGGGTATGAATTTTGAATGGGCGTGATAAACTCACCCCCAATAATGCGATTCGACCATGGTTTGTCCGTTGAGGAATATGTCAACCACAATACGCTGAGTTCCATCTTCTATGCTTACCAAATGTAAAAAAGAGTGCACAGGACATTTGTTTCTCTCGTGGAAAACCAGAGGGAGAAATTACTCTTAGACTCAGGTAGACAAAGGACTAAGTGGAAGGTTTCTAGATGAAAAAATCCAATCCATCTCTGCATGAGAAGATAAAGCGTGGAAACTCTAATGTAGTTTGTGCAGATGAAAAATATATCATAATATCAGATGTAAACTACCTGGATGAAAAGTATACTCTACCTAATTACGATAAAATCTCAGTGAAATATTCTAAATATAAGCTTAATTCGGGCAAGTGTGCAAACCAAATATATAAATTTTTAATTCCCAATAAAGAACTAACTTAAATAACATGGAAGTGCTCAAACGCAAAAACATAAGTAAGAGCATGAACAAAAATGACCTACACCATGGGTTTTTATTCTTCTTTGCTGAAGTATTTGTTGCCCGCTCCATCACATGCAGTTCTCTAATTCATATAAGATCCAGATATTATATGTAAATGTATTTCAAAGTCTATCCAAAACTATTGTTTCAATTCTTACTTAATTATTAAAATCACTCTGATGGCTTTCTGCATGTCTTTGAGGTTCATATACATCTTTAACTTCAACACATACTCTTAAAAAAAAGGAAAAAAATAATATCACTCAGTTTCATCCCACAAAAATCCAATAGAATATATTCATTCTTGCCTTTTTTCTAATGAAACAATTTACTATAAATATGTCAACTTCCGTACATTATCATATTATTTACACCCCAATACATCAACTTCGTTAACTATGATGATTCTCGAAGATGTTCATCACAGTCAAACAAATTGCAACTCATGCAATTATGAATTATCAACTTAATGAATAACCAAATAAATCTTTAAAATGTTGAAAAATATATCATTATTTGCACAACATATTACCATCTCAAAACACTTAATGTCAATCTAGTTCTTGGATTCATATACAATATATCATTTATAATACATCTAACAACTATGAATATTTTGAAAACACAAAATTAAACAAATAATCTCATCACATTCATTTTGTGACTTAATAATGCAAATAAGTAATAAAATTTGAATATTTAACAATTTCATTCAATAATTTATATCAATTTCAAAAAACAATGTGAGCTTAACACGGGATTCAAATTTTTTTGATAATGTCAAATAGTTTCTTCAAAGAAAAAAAATGGCATTATAAATAATTTGTTAAAACAATATCTAGTATTCTAAATCTACAACATATTAAAAAGTATGAATGCTTCATATAACTAAAAATAAAACAAACACATGATAGTATAGTAAGCATAAATGTAAAATGATTAATACAATCATGTTAAACAAATTATTGTTAAAATCATCATTACTTTCTTGTTTTTCATCTTCGAATATACATTTCAAATTTTAAGAATCCTATTTTTAGTATAATCAGCTATTTCGCTTCTATTAATATGAATTGATAAATATATTTTCAAAGATTTCTTATTGAGAAATTAAGAAATAACGGAACTTGTTTATAGTGAAGATTTTCAAACTTTATAATCTGAATAAATATCACAACTTCAAGATAAAATGCATAAATGATGTAATATATTCCCAAAATTTATTTAATCTCAATCTATTAATTATGTATAAAATAATTTTTGGTCAATATTTATAATTTAGATTTTTTGAGCATTCAGTAAGTAGTAAAACTACCATTTATTAATAATTGTGCAATTTTTTAATTATTAATCTTAAACCCAAAAAAATGATATCTTAAACACAGAATTTCATCTTACATTCATATACAATGTATTAAGATCTCACTCAAAGATAACTCATTTGAAGAGAATCAAAATTTTTTTAGCTAGATTGAATATATAATGTAAGTAAGTATATGGTACAATATAAGATAATGTTGATAAAAATATAAATATGAACATTTTTATTAAATTAAATCCATATATATCGAAATTAATATATACAACAACAGATATAAAATTGAACATAAATATCTTAAAAAATGTAATTACCTATTTATTCTTTTGTTAATATTATTACGTTACCGTGTTAAAATAAATTATTTGGCTTTGATAGAAATTTGGTGATATTACAATAAAAAGATATGATCATTTATAGGTATCTCATATAAATATTATATCGTTGTTAGTTTGTGTTATTATATATTCATGATTTTTAAAGGAAGCGGCTAGGTATACATAAACATAATTATCCTTAACCATACAAAAATGTATAAATTTCTTAAGAAGGTTGGTATATGATTGATCGTAAGAATGACATGCAAACAAGCAAATTTTAAGAACTAATTATGTTTTGTAACTATTTTTGTAGAGTACGATGTTTTAACTCTTTACAAAAATGAACATAAATAAAATAAAGATAGTTCCAACAAATATTACATCATGTGGATCGACTTTTCAACAAGTTCTGCATGTGCAAAGAATAGTTTTGAAGTGATCAAAATTAAATATTTTCAAGAAAACCATATATACAATAGATAAGAAAATTTCATTCGTAATAATCGGTAATACATACATGTTGATTACAAAATAAGAATTTTATATTCCAATTTTTATAAGTCTGGATTACGTTATTTAATCCAATATAATGGTTTATTACATGTGTCCTTGACTGAATATTATGGTTATATTTAATCTATATATAGAAATTTTCAATATAAATTGTCTTTATAATTTATATATGTCATGATCATCATTATCATACTTAGTGTTAAGGAATAAATGATAATTAAATTTCTAATATATTTTTTGAAGATAATAATAAGTTGCTGTCCTTTGCAGATTCTCAGAAATTCTGAGGCAATGATAGATGATCATCATTCATGCATTATCACACAAATTGTAAGTGATAAATTTTCAAAAGTCATGAAATGTGTTGAGATACATAATATAATTAGATGAAATTATATTTCTAGAGTAACTTTATTAATCATCTTCTGATATAGGAAGGATAAGGATATTTTTCACAAAGAATAAAAAAATTGATCAAAAGCTTATTTTGAGAAATTTATCCCATTGTGCAATATATATATATTCTTTGATTCAAAAGTATATCTTCATTACTTATTTTAACATAGTATGAAGGATATTGAAAAAGTATGAGTAAGTGTTTCAAAGAAAAAAATTCATATTTTTTGAATTAATTTTAAAATGAGATCTTTTTATTTTTCACAATTTAAATTTACTACTTCTGAAATTTTATTTTCTTAATAATAATTTCAAATTAATTATCAATTTATTTCATTAATTTTATTAATTTCTTGAAATTAATATGAATCTATATTATTTTTTATTTTATCAATAAAAACTACAGTACTAGTTATTTTTGAACACGTGCTAGGATATTATATATATTTTTGATTCTTAAATTATGTAAATTAAAATATTATGAATTTTTTAACAAAGTTTCTAATTTTAAAAAAAATTATCCAAGAAATGAAAATATTTGCATTTTATTGTATTCATATGTTTATCAATAAACCACCATCAAATTTGAACATGATAATAATGGTTGATCACACAAATACATGAAAAAATTACCTGTGAATAATTATAAACTTTTTTTTTCAATTCATATACACAAACATGAAGGTATTCAACATGCATTCCTACCTAAAAATACAATCTTAATGTCAATTATTTCGTAAGCGAGTGGCATTTTGTCGTTATAGTTTGTACCTTGATTAAACTTTCTCACAATTCTGATTGATTTTAAACCCTTATGTGAAAAGTGTGCATAATTTATGTCAGTGCATCGATAATATAGTTGTTCTTCGGACATAAATCTATCGTTAATATCTTGATAATATCTTGATTTAATGATGTTGTTGACTTTTGTAACAAGAAATCTGCTACTCAAAGAACATCTTGAATTTTTGTATCAAAAGCTTGTGATGTGTTGTATCATGAACAGCTTTTTCCAATGCATACATCCATGGAGAAGGACTTGTACTCATTGTGTGAGATGTTTCTCTTTTCTCCTTCTCAAACATCTGTGTTTCATCATCTACAAGTGATCGATACCCACGAAAGAATCCAAATATCGCATCATTGATTCCAATATGACTCTTCGAGTGTTTACCCCTCATATACAGACATTGAGTGCTAGAGTATGATGCTTGTGTCTATAATTAGATAAAAGAACGGCGACGCATTTGATTACATGTGACTTTTGTGCATCCTTTAGTGCTGTGGGTTACAGAGTGGTATATAGATGATTAAGTGATTACATAATTCGTGTGAGAAGGACTTGAGGTCGCTCATTGCTCCCAACATATTTAGGCCAAGTCGCTTCTTTTCCCAAGGGTGATTTCTATGTGTGTCAACTTCTAAGACGGTTGTACCTGGGAACACAATTGATCTGAAGAGAATGAGTCATTCCTGTAGAGACTGATGAATAATCTTTCATACTTAAACTTGCATCTTACCATGGCTAAAGTCATGAGAACTTTGCACAGAACGTGAAGAACACTTTGCAAATATTCAATCGAATGCTGTCCATGTAAGCAACTTGTATTACTTTCATTTACCAATTCCTCACCCTTCCCATGTCACTTCTATGGTGGAAGTTTTTGGGCGTTCCGAAGCAAAAGTAGAGGCCTATGTAACAGATCTCAAGAAAATAGTAACCTGAGATATAGCATCTACTTTTTTCACCTCTTCCATGTTTCCCAGAAATGGTTCTTTGAAGTCGACAGCATGAATAATTTTCTTTTGTATTGTCATTAAGTCTTGCATTTAGCTAGAGGAGCTTAATCCACACCTCTAGGTATTTGTCGTCGCCGGATTCATTTCGCAGTTGCTCTTCTGGTTTCAAAAAGCTTTGCATTTTTCACGAGTCGAGATGTACGCTCCGCAAACTCAATTTTCCACTGTTGTCGAAAGAGCCCCCACATTCCAAACTCCGACCAAAAATCTTTCATTAGGCTCGGTACGCGTAATGAAATTACCATAATACTTTTCCTTTACTGTTTTTAACCTTTATAGCACCAACTAATTTACGGCAGTGACAACTTAATCGGTGTCATGGGGCCATTTGATGAAATACCATAACGCTCGGTACAACGACGTGGGGAAGGGCGTGAATGAAAGAAGAATCTCCTCACGGGCACGAAGTTTCATCCTGTACTTACAAGTCACTCGGTCTTGGAATGAAATCAGCGACGCTTGTTACCCCCGATCTAGCTAGCTAGCTTCGATGTGCACCGAACATGCAAGTGATTCTGATGTGACGTGACGTGATGTGATGTGATGTGACGTTCCTTTAGATACATTTGAACCATCAGCTGGCCCCGATCTCGGATTCTATGAATGCTGCTCAGTTTTCTCCCGCTACTAGCAGTATAGCTCAGCAAGCCAGGCAGTTCCTACTCCTGTCTGATTGGCCTTTCTGCCGTTCATTGCTGGTTGCAAGTCTCAGTGAACCCATACAAGGCGTCAGCATGTGTATCCAACGACATGTGAGCGTTCACGCCGTTCCAAGTGATCAGCCTCGGCCCCTCTGTCCTGGGAGGAAGTTATAAGTACGAATAGGTGCTGGGATGTCCCGGTGTACTATCCACTGGCAGAGTAGGGAGAATGCATGGACAAAAACACCGTACATGGTGGCGCTGTATGGTGCTTCATGAACCACTACGTCAAAGCTTATAAAATCTGGCGTTCTATTTTTAGACGCCGCTACGTCAAACCTTATAAAATCCGGCATTTTACTTTTGTTAGAATTGATCTAGCCCAGAGTGCCATTCATTATAAAAACAAGGGCCACAGGGAACTCATTACAGTTAGTTACTTATTAGTTACAAAGCATTGGAGGCTCGAAGGTGAACTCATCAATAGTAGGAGGGTATTAGCGGCCAAGCATTAGAGTCTCGAAGGGAAACTCATCAATAGGAGGGAATTAGCTGCCAAGCAATTAGAGTCTCCAAGGGAAACTCATCAATAGGAGGAGGGAATTAGCTCCCAAACATTAGAGTCTCCAAGGGAACTCATCAATTGGAGGAGGGAATCAGCTGCCAAGCATTAGAATCTCGAAGGGAAACTCATGAATAGGAAGAGGGAAATAGCGTAAGAGAATTCGACGAGTTCTGTCATCAATTCATTCATGGCAGCAAAAAGTGCGTGCTCCCAATACACAGAAAGAGAGTCCGGTTGGGCAATCGGTAATGAGTATGCGCAAGAAGTGAAATAAAGTAAACCAATGTGATCGGACATCCTGACACACTCCAAGCAAATCGGAAGTGCAAAGATCGACACACAAATGTGACAAATCTTTTCTTTATTCATGTGAAGTGGTCAAAATTGCTCAAAACGATTGTGGCCAAACAATACGACGAAGGAAGTGAAATGAAATTGTTCACTCCGGAAATGAAATCATGCAATTGAATTCTATTCATATAGGAGAAATTCTATTTTTCATCTAACAATTCATTTTTGTTTAGATGAATTTTCTTAATTATGGCAATGCCAGAATTAAGAAAAAAGAAAAATTAAGAATTAAGAATTAATGAAAAATTTGCCAGAATTTATTTAATTCTGGGAAACTTGGCATTTGCCGGAATTTATGAGGCCTGCATTACATACAGTATCTAGTCATCACTGCGAGTGTACGAGAAGACATGTGAGATGAAAGACCCTTTTGCACTCATCAGGATGCTGCCCTAACGAGGAGCTTTCATACATTAGCCATGGGTACTTTTGACACGACCAAAAGGCAACTGTAAGAAGTATACGAGTTACGACCTGAAGAATCTTGGCGGGTGCAGTATCCGACCTAAGAGAAACTGCGAGAAGAGGCATACCAGATCAGAACTTTGTACAATGACGTGACAGAATTTACAAGGCCGTGCACCAGATGAACTTCATGTTTGAGTGGCCAGCACACTCGCGATCAACCTCTTCAGCTGTTTCTAGATAGGGGCAGACAGACTAATTTGGTCCGGCCTTACCCCAAATCAACCAATTTAATACTTACACGTCTACTGGATGCCCAGTGAAACTTACTCAATGCCTGCAGGCACTAAACCCCTGAGGGCTCTGCTACAGGCGAAAGAGTGCCCCAAACCAAATAGACGATAAGAGATTGTAGACATCTTGTTAGAATACACCCTTGGACTATCGGCAAAGTTTCAGTCTATAGACCTGAAATTGCAGAGGTCTCGTCCAGTTCCTGGAACTTGTTGCCATGAATCACAGAACCACACTTTCTTCGCTGGCCACCTTCGCTGCATGCCTTATCTGATCAGCTGCTGCTAGCGCACCATCGCATTTGTCTAGATGTGTTTGGAAGCCTTGGTCCGTAGTGCTCAGCATCCTGTTCAGAGTCCAGGTAACTCCACGCGATTCGAGAATTGCGTTTCGTGGTCGTATTCTTTTTTCAAGACTGTATCCGAAGTACTGAGGGAAGTCAATCAGCTCGGAGTGTTTCCGACGCATCTTAATGAAAAATTTCCATTTCGGGAGTAGGTTGTTTTCCACATTCAACCCCAAGATTTGAGGGAACCGGTTCACCAAAACGGCCACCTGTTCAATACTGTATCCTAGGCCTAAGAAAAACTCGACGGTGCACTTGATGTTCTTCTCCAAACTCAGACCTAAGGTCTGAGGTGAACGTATAACTACTAGACTAAAGTCGGGAATTCCTATCAACTTGAAGTACATGGCCATGGGCCTTAGTTTTGCTTCTAGGCTGTAACCTACAAGGTGTGGAAACCTGGATAAGACCCTGCCGACCGTGGCAGGAGGGATTCCGATCTCTAAAAGAAAGTCTATAACCAGTTGTAGTTTTTTCCGGCTGTAAGTGAGTATTTGAGGAAAATTCACCATGATCTTGGCCCATTTCTCAGGTTCTACTCCATTACTCTCAAGAAATCTGGCTGTCGGTCGGAGGTTCTCCTCCACGCTGCAGCCAAAAAGTTGAGGTCTTTTCATGATGATCTTTGGTATGCTTGTAGGACAACAACCCATTCCTAGGACGTAGTCTATAACCTTCATTATTTTGTTGTCTACACTGTAATGGGCAAAGGCTGGAAAGCGCTGTATCACATCGTTGATCTGCTCCGAAGTCATTCCAATACTTAAACAGTAAGATACGGCTGCAGGCAACTTTCCATGGATGCAATGTCCCAATAGAGCTGGACATTCTGCAAGATTTACCTCAATCACTTTCTCTTGGCCTTCACTATCCGTTGTTATGCTGTACAGCACATCTCCACCAGTCCACGGGGCTGGCACATCGGGAAAGCTCACTATGACCTCCGGTGTACCTCTGCCATACTTGGCAGCTAAGCTTTCGAGATAGGGAAGCAATGTGCCCTGGATCTCTTCTGTTCCCAGCTCTTCTCCTGCACAATTGCAATGCAAAATGATTAAATGTGGTTCTTTCGTCTGTCTTCCCGGAGAAAAAAAGCTGACTCAGAGTCCAAGTAGATGAAAAACTAACTGTTTTCGTCTTACGACGAGAGTGTAAGGCTTCACTATTCTCTGTCACAGACTGGGAACAAAAATCTTCAATCTGGGACCACCGTGTGCGGGAACTTAGATTCCTTGAGAACAAAAACCCTAAAACCTTGAATTTTACACAGCTATTCACAGACTCTTCTCACATTCCTTAGTCCTCAGACTCCATAATATCTTGGGGACTCTGCCTTTTCTTGTTGGGATTGTTTTGACGCCTGAAAACTTCAATTTAGGATCACCGTGTGCGGGAACGTAGATTCATTGACAACAAAAACCCTAAACCCTTGAAGTCTACACAGCTATTTACAGACTCTTCTCACATTCCATAGTCCTCAAAATCCATTATATCTTCGGACACTCTGACTTTTCTTGTTGGGATTGTTTGACGCCTGAAAACCTTCGATCACATAGATTTTCGAGTAAATCTCTCTCAGGTCCTTTGACACCTCCCATGAAAAAACTCAAATCTGTCAAAGAAGTCACTAGCAATGTCGACAAGACTTCGATAAAATCAACCCCAAGACAGCAGGCTTTCCTTTCCACACTAGGGCATCTATGGCATAATATTCAAATCAATTCTACGTAAAATCGTACATCAGGCTTTCCTTTCCACGCTAGAGCATCTATGGCATACTATTCAAATCAATATTATGTAAAATCGTAGACGCGGGTGGCATACCTGCGAGGTAACGCGCGCGATGCTGAGAGTGCAAAATACCGAGCAGGTGGGCAGTAAAAAGAGTAGCATTCTTCAGCGTTCGGGTTGCAACAGACGCACTGAACCCTCGAGACCTTAAGAACTGGGACACGACTGCTTTAGCCTCTTCCCTCTCACCAACCAGATGTCTCCAATCCAGAGAAAACTCGGATGTTCCCTCTCCCACACCCTCGGCAGTGCGCACGGCCCGAACTCTGTAAATCTGGCGAGCACTTTTACTAAGAAATCCTCCATTCCACTTGCCGTTCCAACTTCCTCCACAGCTACCAACCTGCTTCGGTTCCCCTACTGACAGTCCACTCCCACAATGCGCCCGAGGGAATTTCCACGGAATTCCAGAAATGCAAATCATTCTCCTTTACCTCCACCTTCGACCTTCCCAATTAATCTCTACCAATCTGTCGTCCTCCAGTTTCCCCTGAGAACTGGAAAACTCATCAATCCATGGAGCAGATTGTTCGCAGAATACGACCTCCAGAATTTCTGAAGCTGAAAACCTCAATTGATTGTGAAGCAGAAAAGCCCGAATCGGTGTTGTGGAGTCACCTGTAAAACGACAAAGGCAAGGTGTTTGGACCTGCATGAATGTCACAAAAGCATGACTATGGAGATAAACCGTAGGCGCAGCAGGATGAAAGCTCTCGGACAACCACGACCAGAGACAAAACCCCTGCCTCTGCTCCAATTCTCCTTTTCGTAAATTCGCTAGACTCAGCTCCGGGCCGGTCAGTTTCAAACACTCATGAAACGCAGCTCTCCACGTATGTTCGTGTCCTGTGGCTCATCCATAACTTCCTCGAAAGATGACAAAGCTTTTCCTTCCAGATATTTCCAGCGACAACTTCAATCGCTCGTACACGCTCTATCGCCATCGATGGTAGAGAACGGGTTGTCTCCTCAATTGGGTCAATCCCATCACGTTTACAGACCAATTTTCACTTGGTCTCAGAAAAAGGGTCTGATAAATATCAATCTGTGGATTGCTGCAAAGGATGAGGTTGAATCACAAAACATTTGTGTCAACTTGTGTCATAAATCGCTCCAATTAAAGCAAAGAGCAAGATGTAATCGTCTCTCAAAATCTAGGCTCCGTGTTCCAGTGTTATCCGCTTGGTCACCTCTTTGACTAGTAATTCAATATTTGAATTGGAAATGAGATTTGTCATCGATTGGATAACAGGAATATTATTTTTTTTCTCACAAAACAGGTAAGGATATCCAGTTCTCCATTACATAAAATAAAAGTGCCATTGTTCTAATGCCGAAAGCAATAAAGATAATTCAATTGAATAATATAAAAATCCTCGGTCGTGGATGAGTTGAGAAACTGACCTCTTGTTTGCAACCATCCTACTAAATATAATCATTTCTTGTACTTCTGGCGCAGCGCTCGGGAATAAAAGGCTAGTATAAATGCAAAGAGTGAAGAAGTATAGCGCAATTAAATTTACATTTGGACTCAGTTCTCTAACTACGTTCAAAATGGCAATTGCTTCTGATGATGTGTGTGCCATTGAATAGAGTTGATTATGAATATCCTTGAAAATAGGATTTCATTTCATACTGGCAAGGCAGAAGAGTTTTAGTGTTTCGAGTAAGTGAGTGTAAGTAGTGACTGTAGTTGTGATGACAAATATGTCGGCAGCAGTCGATCCTTATATGCGAGGATTTGTGAGAAGAGTATGATACTTAATTATCTTCGTTACCAATGCTCGCATTCCGTATACTTGACTGGCATGAATATTAACTTGTTCGAAACATTGGTAGAAATATACAGTTTATAGTTTCGGAGGTTTATATGTGTGCTGATTCTCAAAGTTGAATCTCTCTACACATGTCACTTGTCATATTTTCAAGCATTAATACGAAGGAAAATAAAAAGTGGAACATCTTCACCATGAGGGTATTTGTCTTGAATGTATCCATGCACAAAAAGGATAAGTTGTGGATTCAATTTGATCCTTGAATGTCTTAGATTTTTTCTAATATCTCTTCGTATTGGTGTTGGACAATTAAGCCATCTAATTGATGATGTGTATAAGTTCGAATGAAAATCAAATAGTTCGCTTCATGATAAATTGTGTAAAAATGTTTGTGTTATTATATATGTTGAGATAAAAAGAAATTCATGTGCAAGTCTCATGAATTTCTTTTTATCTCAACATATATAATAACACAAACATTTTTACACAATTTATCAGTTAGTTGTAGGTGATCAATCATTGTATGTGATGTGTGACATGTTTTCTCGTCATGAAAAACACTAAAACCTAGCTATTAGATTTTTCTTTTCATTTCATACTTGTAACGTCAAGATTGGGATTCTTTGTTTTGTTTTTACTGATTTATCCCTCCTCTTTTGATCATGTTTTTTAAATATCAATGAATGTTGTAATACGATATGAATTAACAACTTTATGAGTTATGACAATCTTTGTAACGGCATCTATATTGACACCTAGATATTGCAGTCAATCATGACTTTCATATATGTTTCAAATCAATCTGAAGCTTGATGTCAAGCATGAGAGTGCATTTATGATGTAAATTGTATGAAATTAAATTTTTTGGATTGAAGAATATAACATTTTTTAGTTAGAAGTTTCATTTTTTGGTGATTTTTAGTATACATTTAGTTTGATATAGAATAATTCATATATTGTTATATTTAGTTAAATTATTATTTTATGATTCTTTTGAAAACTTCATTATTCTGCAATCATATATAAAAATGAGTATTGGACATGAATTTTTTTTGGTATCATGTTCATATTTCAATCAAGAATTAAAAGACTGAGATATATGATAAAAGTGTTGTGATTGGTTCGATGTAACAAGACGCTCAAATTTTTAGTTATATAAATATGAAGTCATTTTGGAGAATGTATTTGGAGATTTATTGTATAAAAATTAAAATCGAAAAGAAATGATATAAATGTAATAATATATGAAAATGATATATTATGAAATATATGTAATGTAGATGGATCGAAAATAGATATCAATTTTAAATCAAGTATACATATCATTAATGTATTTTGAATTGATATATCTTACTTATTCAAATACATCTAATCATCAACAAAAATAATTGACTGTCCAACAAATTACTAAGACTTGTCATACAAGTAAATTCCCCCTCATATAAGTGTCATTGATTTTGTTACAATCTAGCACAAAACATATTTGTCTACATGATTGGTATTTTTTACATATATATGAGAAAGATAATAGAATACAATTATTTTGATACAATTTTCAGAAGATTATACAAGTTCTTTTTCTTACGAGACGAGTAATACTTTTCTAAGCTAGATGCAATTCTCGATCTACTGAATCCACTCGAATGATAATAACAGGGCACAGATTTATCATTGTTTGAAAAGGAGATGTTCTTACAAAATTGTCAAAATTTTGGTACTTTCAGAAACGAGGGCATATAATGAAATAAGCAAAAAAGATAAAATCACTCATCATTTGCATTTTCACAAAGTCAGTGCTGGAATGTTTGAGGAAATCCGGTTCCCCAATCCCGCCAATTAAAGCGAAGGTGAGAAGAACTGGGAAGAGTGCGCCAGGCCAAATGTATGAACCGATCGGATAAGGCGGCCGCTGGGCGCGGGCTGCAGGCCACACTCAGTGGCGCGGCCGCGACCGAGACGAGGTGGGCCCCAGCTTCTTGCTTACCACCTCGGCAACGGCCTGGCATCGCGACCAACGAAGAAAGAAAGGAGGAGCGTCTGGCGCGGGCCGCGGGCTTGTCGTGCCCGGGGGCTGGGCTCGTGCGTGCCACGGACTCGAGCTGACGGGAATGAATGTGTCGATCCAAGGGTTGCAGAATCGATGACGACCACCGATGACCTCGAGAAAAAGCGCTCTCGTGGTGGGCCATCGATCGAGCTTTCATCGCAATGTCGCCTGGCGTTTATCGTTATGACGCTGCAGATTACCTTCGTCCCTGCCTCGCTTTCTCTCTTTCTCGCGTGGCTTTGGGAGGGGGAGGTGAGGTGAGTTTCAAACGCCAATCGGATTAGAGTGGAGGTCAGCGAATCAGGACGGGTTTAGAAAGTGCTGGATTTGGTTGGCCTCTGCTGCCATGGCGGCACAAGCAGAGGGCGCAGTCGAGGAATCCGTCGACAGAATTGAAGGCAGGAGCTTCGAGTCTCGGCAATGGTTTTGCGGCGGATCGAAAGCGAGGGGGGTTTTGTATTTGCGTAGAAGGAGTTGCGTGCCGCTTGTGGAATGCGATGAACTGATGAAATTCTAATGCGGGGGTGGTGACATTTTGAAACTAGGCAGGCATCGTGTACAATGTCGACCATGGTGGGAGCCTCACTTCGTCAGTGTGTTGGAGCCTTGAGTACCTCGGATTCTCGGTGTTGCGTAATTTCGGTCGCGTCTCAATCTTCTGAGCTAGGTTGTTCACCAGGTGGATGGCTTATCGTTACGAGGTTGAGTGCTAAATTGGAGAGCTGCGAGAAATTAGTTTGGCTTGGAAAATGCAAGAGTTTGGGTGCCTGTGGAGTATTAAGCCATTCCTTACAATCTAGCGTGGAGACGTCGCTTAGAAGGAGGTCTCGGATCAGGAGACAAGTCTCGGGAAGTGGGGACTCAAATTGGGGTGAAGATGGTGGGAACAAAGTAGTAATTCAGTACAGGCGAGGTGGGAAGGGAAGTGGATCAGAAGAGGAGGATGTCGAAGGGCTTACTCCGGTACCAGATCAGACTGCAGTTGGAACAGACAGTGGCGATGATGGAGCAGACGGAAACGCCTTCTGTGACTCAGGAATTGCGGATTCGAAACAAAATTTAGGGCCGAATTCGGGTCTGGGAGACGAAAGATTTTTGAGAAGGGTTGCCGCTGCCGAGAATGCTGAGACTGCTCTCGCGATAATAAATGAGAGGGGTTCAACTGGCGGCGTTGCTCTCAGCAGTTCCGATTGCTCCGAGTTGATTCTTGCCGCAATTGCGCAGAATAATGTGGACTTGGCGTTCTCCATTCTGAATGCAATGCGGAGCAGCCTACTTCAACGTCGTATCGATCGAACAGATGGTATGTTCAGCTCACATCCTCAGCACACGCAGTTGCAAGTGCTTGCAAGATAATTGTCTTTTGAACAAAGCACATCATAAGCATAATTTAGAGTTAACGTGGTGAAGTTTGTGGAGGTTGCTACTACGATGATGTGAGAAAGTATCATTTGAGAGTAAATGCCTTTGCGCCTTTCGACGTGAAAGACTGTGTGTTACGTTGTCAGGGTCGCCATGTAGAGTCTGAGTTCATTCGTCCTCAACTCGCCTCACGATGTTGTGAAGTGTTGATTGTCACACGACGAAAATCGCTGTTGGCATGACTTTTACCAGTAATTTGCAAGAAACGGTTGTTTCTTGCTGGAAAGGAATTGTTTCGGTAACGTGCTTGTTTTGAATGGCCCATGAGCAGTTCTTTGTGGCTGTGTCTGTTTTTTGATGACATTTCACATAACGACGACAACTCTTGCGGTTTCCGCTTTTGTTACCAGCATCTGGCATGTTATGGAAAACGTAGCGTAATTTGAGCGGTAGTTCACCTCTCCTATCTTGAAAATATTGTGACGCAAACTTTGAAATTTGTAAAAATGTCAGTCCATTGTGGTTGGAACAGCTGCAGCTGGGAACAGGGAAGGAAGTCAAGAATGGCGATGGCCTACTGCTGATGTATCGACATATGTAGCACTCGTAAGAGGATTGGCAGCATCTCTTAGAGTTTCAGACGCTATTGCTACAGTTGGTGACGTTCGACGCCGAGGAGTTCCTCCAGGAGACGAGGTGAATGGTAGCTCCTATTGTGCTCTCTGTTCAGAATTCTTAGATTCACTTCGAAAGAAGAGTTTTGAACGGCACCTCTTTCCTGACGAGGATCGAACTGAATGTGTTTCGGTTATTCATGCTACCAGGTTCCCTTCGGCAAAGTTGTGAATTGTCCCATTTGCAAGACATCACTGGCAGTTGTGCAGCCCCAGCACGGAGTCCAGGTTGTCCTCGGAACTGCATCTTATTACTTGAAACTGCGTTGTCTTTTTTTCTATTTATTTTCTTCATGCACAACATAAAATCTAGATGTTTACTAATATTGCTTCTTCATCTATATACGCAGTTGGTCCCTTGTGCTTCATGCCGCTATCAGTACGAACTCATGTCTGGAGTTATTGTGAACTCTGAATCAGAGTCCATCAGGTTTTACTCTCTCCTAATTAGTGGTCTTCATTCAATGTTGCTCAGTATCACATTTTTTCTGTTTTAGTTCTCACTGGCTGGATCTCTGAGTGTCATGGACTTGTGGTACGTAACAAAATCAGGACATGTTCATTTTTCCTGTATCATACGAGCCTACACCCACAACAAAGATAACGATCGGGGCCTAGAGTGTTAGAATGTTCATCAATTTTTAGAAGCCTCATCCAACTAATATATATTCAACACTTCGCCTCCAGTGCGGACACCTCTATTTTCCAGAGGGGATTGAAGCTACTACCGTTTCTCAAGCGCCGTATTCCAGCTGCTGTGCATTCTATTGTGGTATGTTTAATATTCCATTAGGTTTCTCTTCTAGATTTTACGTCTTAGTCTTGGTAGTGTGTCGATGACATGAGAAAATGCAGAATGTTTTTTGTACCGTATTGATCATTGCCCATAATCGCGGACTTTTGTATCTCTATCTCCTAGCAAGGGTCTCTGTTGCGTTTGTTTCCATGCTTTGTTAACTGTAACATGTAACGGAAAGTCTTTTGATGTCGGGTTGTTTGTGCTACAGGTACGAGCACCTGACGGGTTAGCCCGCACACATAGGTTCGCCACCGAGTCGGCTGATGTTCCTGCTCAGCAAGGAGAGCGAGTAACTGTTGCGCTAGCATGTCCTGCAAATGAAGGCCGTGGATTTGGGCCTATTCGCTTCAACTCGCGAGTACCTGGCTGGCAACCTAGTGAGCCCATGGCAGTTACTAACCACGCTACCGGACGAGTCGCTGATCTTATTAGAGCTCCCTCTAAAGCAGGCAGCGGAACGATTTTTGACACTAATGTAATATTTCCGCTTGCTATATTACTAGCAAGCACTGATATCGCATCAGGACTAATTGATCCAACTTTACCACGCCTTATAGCTGTATCAGCTTCTGCAGCTGTGTTATTTGGAGGTGCCGCCAACACGTTTGTCCTTCCTCGTTTGAGTCAGGTAGTGGCAGCCCATCTCGTCTCTTCTCTTTTGCACTCTTGATTGGTGTTAATATCTGAGTAATATGGATTTTTGTGAATTGCTACTGAACGTGATGCACTCTGTATCTGGGAAATCCCTAATCTATTTACAGCGAGCAATGCTGCACAATGAGCAAACGCTATGTATTTAGACGGCTTTGTACTTCACATCAATCTTTACAGGTTGTGAACTGAAGCTAGTATTTACTTTTTTTAACATCGGAGTTTCGTGTGGATTACAGCTACCACAAAGAACGGTTGACGCAATAGCGCTGCGTCAAAAGTTATTAGCTCAGTACGAACAACTTCAGACCAGGCTACAAGATTTAACGCAAGCTACTGCAGATGAGGTGAGTTTCCGAGTTTAGTCCAGTCTAGGTCATGAATGTGATATCTCTGAACTGAAAGGAAGATGGTGACGTCGTAAATCCATCTTACAGGTCTTCTCCATCATTAATATATTTTTCATAGGCGATCTACCAGGAGTCAATTAAAAGGGAAGATTAATGTGTTCAGCAAACAGCAAGAAAACTTGTATAACCATGTCCCAAGATGATGTGGTAGCATTACTGGTAAATCTTTGATACCTGGCAAGATTGAAAGTTGATTTGCATGTCATATGAAGGTGCGGATGCTAGCTAGGATGTGTCAACTCCAGAACAAGATGGAGGCGGTTGGAGAAACTTCCTACAGGTAATAATCTTTCTTTGAAACGTCATGCCTAAGCTAGTCTGCAGATTGTCTCTTAGAACTTGAAAACTACACTAACATTGGAAAGCTCTTGCGATTGTTATGTCTTTCGATCTTCTTTTGATGTGCTTGTCTTCACTATCTTATTTTTACCTTTTAATCCACATGCAGTGCCCGAATAGAAAGAGTTCGAAAAGCACGATCGGGACTTGATGAACGGTTGGCCGCCAGGCTCGAATTAATTGACAGCTACGCAAAGGTGCTCGTCGTTAGCTTTCCTGAAGACATGAACATGGCTTACATCAGGGTTTGTGATACGTGGAGAACTTGCATCTTATTCACTCTATTTCTCATCATTAACTAACGATTGTTTTGCTGAACTTTTGTGCTGTGTGTCTCATTGAAAATTTCCAGGTGGCATCAATGATTGAAATAGAGGTGGAAATGGATATCGATGTGCTAGCAGCCGAGGCAGCCAATCCCGATGTGAGTTGAACTGTTGAGCTGAAAGCTACTTTTGGAGTTCATATACAGAAGAACCCTTTTTATGTTGGATGAGAAATTTAAGTAGTGTAATTCTTGTGTTTGTTCTTGCCAGTAGTCTGTTGATCAATTTCTTTTTACTTTGGTACTTTTGCAGGCAACTATCGCTGAGCAGATCGAGCGTTTAATGGAGGTAGAAAGCCTTCAAAAGGTAGTTATTTGTCCTACTGTTTTTGTTTTCCGCCATAATGTTGAAAGGTAACTTGGGCGCTGTTGAATCGTAGAGAGAAATTGAAATGATGTCCTGGACCAAATTGCAGGAATGGGAAAATCAGGCCGAGGCTAACGATGAGGTCGAGAGGCTATTACGTTCTGCTCCCATGCTGGTGGATTGAGCTAAGGGAAGCTACTTCCTGGACGGCATTTGTGGTTCAGAATGCCTCCACTTTACAATACCCACTGAACGCGTTGATTTTGTAGAAATTTGAAATTACACGGTCCCGAGTTCAGTCTTAGGCAGTGCTGAAATGTACATATTGCCTGGAGTGTTTTGGGATGACTGTAATCAACACCCAATTCAGTGCCTTGGAGTCATAAGTGATGTGGAGCACAAGCTTTAGCAAACGAAATGAGTTGTTTGCTTCTCTACACTCGAACTCTCTGTAATTTTCGGACCATATTGGCCAGAAGGATAATGCCATGTAGGGTCATTTTCTCAAAGGGTTCATCAACACTCAACTTGTGTTGAGACACAAATTGAGTGTTCACAAGCTTTCACAATCTGTAAAAATGAGTGCCATGAGTAGCGAGGAAGTTTACATCTCTTTGTGAAGACTAATACCCATTGCGATGGAAAGCTCTGGATAGGAAATTCAGGTCATCTGTGAGAATAACATACCAAAGATCGATGCAAACTTCAGCACTGTTGTCAAACCTACGCCAAACAACGAAGTGACAGGTGGGTAAAGGACATCACTCATCGATAAATTAATATTATCTGTCAATGCATCGAAGAATTGCAATTATTCACGAAGGTGTGAGAGACTGTAATAAGCAAAATGTTTGAAACTGTACACACGTCGTTTACTTCCGGTTGTGAACAAAGTTCGAATGTCCGACTGGTTATCGTTTGACGGATGCACAACCGTCAGCTTCGGTTTATTTTGCCTATGTACCCGGTTCATATCACGAGTCAGAAAGATTTGTCTACGTTAGTAAGTGCGGACTCATCCCTATTATATCCCTATATCCCTAATGCTGACCGTGAGGCAATTGTCGCTCGTATGTCGTCTGATTACCAGTAGCTGCTGAATTGGCCGTGGTATCACCGTTGTCAGTTCGGTTAGAGTTACTAGGAGGGTGCCCTGGAGGACCTTGTACAACTCCATGGTTTCCAGTCATACCAAGCATCGGGAAAAGGTCAGTGACAGATCGTTGTGCAAGGTGAATATTTGGCCCTGCGGTCGATGATCTAACGTTTCCTTCTAAATTGCTACCTACATTATCTCTCTTTATTCCATTTAATACATCACTGGGTCCATTGCTGCTGCATGGTGTTGGCAAGGGACCCGGAATCATCCCCTGAGGCAAAAAAAGTTGATGGAATTGTGCCCCAGGCCACATCACATTCGACTGAGCGCCAAGTCCACCTGCTTGACCTTGTACAACTCCCGGTCCCATCCTGGCCAACACATCCGCTGCTCCAGCAGAAGCGAGAAGCCCGTGAGCTAGACCTGGCTGCCCTGGCACGACACCAGGAGCCATTCTCGCCAAAGCCTCCGCTCCAGCAGAGGCGAGAAGCCCGTGGGGAAGACCGTCCAACACCATATTGTTTCCGACAGTTTTGTCTGCGCCACCCGAGTGATTTTCTCCACCTTGTGACATTCCCTGGACCATGGCTTGAGGCATTCCTCCGCCGGGTATGAGCTGAGGGGGAAATAATCCATATGGTCCAGTTCCTCCGTTATTACTCATGAAGGGCCATAGTCCAGGGGGGAAACCTGGATACACCGGACCTCTGCCTGCTGAAGCGGCAGCCGCTGCTGCTGAGGCCGCGAAAACTGAAATCGTGGATGCAGAGGAATTGGCTGGTGGGTTTGGTCCGTTATGACTTCCGCTCTCAGCGGGCTCGGCAGTTTCATGATCTCTGTCCCTGTCAGCGTCCCTCTCTCTGTCGTATGCTGCCTGCCGTTCACCTGTGTCAGTCGGTCTTGACTGCATCAGCTGCAGCATCTTCATCTGCATCGAAGGATTAAGATTCTCAGCCATACCTGGGAAAACCCCTACATACTGCGGGTGACCTTTCAGATTGGGCTGGGCAGCACCGGGCAAGCCATCCTCCCTACTCCTGTCACTACCTCGAGCTGCAGTAGCTGCTGGGTCCTCAGGTCTCATTGCAGCTGTACCATAGAGCTGCAGGGGCCACATTTCATGTAAAACACGTGGATCGACATGAAATGGGAAAAAATGTCTCTGCGTCAATGTGGCAGGATTGAATCCTGCCACATTGGCAGGAGGCATCATATTCACTTTTTTCAAACCTCCATATTCGGGCTCGGATCTTTCTCGGTCACGATCTTTTTCCCTGTCAGTTCGCTCTCTCTCTGTCTCTTTTGGAGCATCTTGGCGATTACTCTCCAGACTCTCCACACCGTTGCTGACTCCCGTGACTTGGTTAGGTACAGCAAATATATGCATCCCTGCAGCCCTCGCGTCGGCAGGAAGGGCGGACCCCGGGTAAGGAACGGCAGTTGCCCGCTCATTCGCTGATGCTGCGGATACAGGAACTCTGACCATATTGGGTTGGGCTGGAGAACTTGCCCCTGAGCCTCCTACTGCACTGCTTGTATCTCCAGCCAACCCAACACTGTTGTTGCTAACGGCTGAATTGTATGGAGTTGTTGTGATGGACGGATCAGATAACCCCGATATACCAGCCGCTTGACGCTGAACATGGACACGGAGTGAAGAAGCCGTATTCACTGAGAAAGCTTTCTCCAATGGTACTGCTGGAGTGTAATCAGATGGCAGAAGGTCATCTAGATTTTCTAGCAGTTCTTTGTACACTTTTCGCAAAGTTACCTGGAAGAAGATGACCATGAAGACGATTACAACGAGAAAAATACCCTTGAAGAGAAAGAGATTTTAAAACCCTCAAAAGGCAAATGACTCAAAGGATACAATCTCTTTCACTGAAACTTAATAGCAAATCAACTAAATATCTTCACCACAAATCAGTGTCCATCCTGAAGTAGAAAGTTGAAGGTTGAATCCCCCTTCATACTATCACAGACCACTCCCGTAAAACACTGTGGAAGAGTAGAAGAGTCCTAACAGAAAGTATACGAATCCATTTTTTCTTTGTAGCAACACATACCTCTGTGAGTCCTGTGGCTTTGCAGATTTCTGTCTGGGTTTTCCGTTTGTCTTCGAGATGACAAGCCAAATAGATGGCAGCAGCTGAAATGCTAATTGGATTTCTTCTTGTGCAAAAGCTTTTGTCTAGGACCACCTCCCCGATGTGTGTTGCCAGTTTCTGGGAACATGATTCTTATAAGCTATCAATACAGACAATCTGAATTCTAGAATTGATAGCATAACGCATGGTAAATACCCACTCGAATAAGCGATTCTCGCACCTGTGTATTCTGACTAAGTTGTAAAATGCCACAAAAACGAGGCATGTGGCTGGAGATGGAGTTGCTATTCATTGGTTGGCTCAGTTTGAGCGCATCTGAAAGAATCTTCATGTGCCTCCCTATTTCTTTCTGAGGTATCGCCGATGCTTGAGATACTTCCTGTACAAGTAAATTGATCTTTTAAATTCCATCGTTAGTAATACTGATGTCGAACTTACATTCAAATAATGTAATCAATCACATAACATAATGAAACCACTTAGAAAGAATGAATACCTGCAAAGTGCGGGGTTCGTTCGCTTCCCGCATGGCTTGGATGATTGCTGCTATTGCAAGAGCTTCGATATTTCGATTTCGCAGATAGGTTTGTTGCAAACAGTCCCTGAATAGATCGTACGCATGGTCACATATATCCCTTTCCAAACCGAGTATAGATGATACTTCCAGCACTTCCATGTAGCCTCTTAAAATGTCTAAAGTGTTACTGCTGGCACCAGATACGCTCACCGGTCCCGCATTCCCACCGTTAAACAGCGTATCCGAAAGTGTCCTCTCCATTTCAGCTAACTGGCCACTCATGGTGGAAGTAGTCACAGCATACAAAGGAGATCTCTCAAGTGACCAAGTTGAGAATGCCGTTATGAAACCTATGCTTTCAAACGGGTCATCATCGATGGGTGGAGCTTTATAAGCATCATTTTCATTAAAATCAGGCGTTACAATACATAGAGGTGCATCATGGGCACGCTCTACGAGAATTTCCTTCACCTGCAAGCAGAGCTTTGTAGTCAGCATATATTGCACCATATCCCGAAAATAAATGAATAGAACTCCGACATAGTGTTTTACAATTTGGTTGCACCAGAAGAAACAAGGATCTAGAAATCATGGAGGACGACCTTCCTCAAAGGGAAAATACAGAACTCTTAAAGCACAACAATGACAAAGACATTTGGTGGCCATCACACGCTGGAATGTTTTGGTCTAATCCACAAAACCAAAAACATTACGACTAAGTGATCTTATGCTGTTCGTCCTTTAGATAAGAATCATGATTTCTAATCTTGAAAGCTACGAATGAAGCATATTTGCCAAAGTTTAGCCCTCTACACAAATTCAAAGTCGCCTCATAATCACGATCTAAAATTCAATGAACATAAAGATACCTTACGCTTTGTCGTCTAAAGCTAACTGTTTGGTTTATAACTTACAACAACATTGATGTCAACATGAGTAGTCAAAAAGGTTGAAAACTCCAACTACTCAGTCTAAATACTCACTCTAAAATCCACAACAGAAGAAAATGGAGATTTAAGAAACTAGAAATCTGTACCGTGTTCTTTCTCTCCTCGACAACGCGCATACACAATCGACATTCCGCGTTGAACCGACCTTCTCCAACTGCGACGTAACGCAATTCCGAGCTTCCACAGAACGGACAGCACGCTCGAGACGTCATTCTCACCATCTGAGAATTGGCTTTTCAATCTCCCTTCCGTTTAACCAGGAAGTTGAAAACCATGGCGACTGAGATACGCCTATCCCATGAATCCTAAGACTTCACTTTCACAAGCCTTTTCGTGCACAACAGCTCTTTCCTCCCTGTTGGGACTTGAACCCCACTGAGCCCACGAATACCAGTAAAATTATCCTGAGAGTCCACAAACAAAAAGTGATACATTAAAATCCTGTTGACAGATTGCTGGAAGTAGTAGAGGTCGGAATGCACCAGAGAGACGGCAGGAAGTGAAATCCGTGCTTTCAAGACAGTCGAGTGCAACTCTTAAACGCCTTGTCGTGCGCCTGAACCCATTGACACATTATCCCATGCATTTGTTTGTTCTCCCCTCATGTTTGTGGGCTGGAGGGAAAAAAACAAGAAGCAAATCAGAGTCTCGTTCACAACGCCACTCTCAAGAATCGTTTTTTCGGTTCCTCGACCACCAGGAAAGGTAACCCAAGCGGAGGCCTGAGTAAGGGAAGAGAGACATGCGCGCATTGCTTGCGTCTGCGCGAACGCTTGAGGAAGTAGTAGAGGTCGGAATGCACCAGAGAGACGGCAGGAAGTGAAATCCGTGTTTTCAAGGAGCGACCAGAGATGGCGACGAGCATCATCAAATCGAATTCGACCCTCGAGGAGAAAGAAGCGGAGCGAGCGAGCGAGAGAAAGATGAGGAAAAAGTTGGAGGACAACGAAGGGAAGGGGAGGATTTTTTACAATCGGACGACGAGGATATAGGGCAAGAAAGGGAAGGACACGGGACACGACGAAAACAGTGGAGGGGAGTTGCAGCAATTGACAAGAGAGAAGGACGAAGAGCAGTGGTGGGGGAAATGTATTTGAAAAACTGTTCAGATAACCGAAGCCTCTGGAACAATCGAATCCATAAATCCCAAGATTCCAGTTTTGTCAGCCTCCAGAGAGTGCTAATCTGTGCAACCTTACCCTAAAACATGCTCACTAGTCCAAACATGTGGCACGAAATTGAGCCCGAAGACTTGTCACAATCATCCATACCCCAAAGAGGTAGGGTTGATCCTTGCTCGCTTGCGGGTGACTTCTCAGACAACAACGATACATTCGAGCAGTCACTTGAAGCAGTAGTGACAGTACCTGTAGCACTCGTAAGAGTCCACTTATGACCAAGCTCGCGACAGCTGAACTCGCCTCTTTCTCTCTCCGTGACCCCACATCTCCTCTTCTCCAATTCACTCCACAATGTCGAAACACATCAAAGAAAACATTCGAGCGCTCCGAGGACGTGGATGATTCACTCGCAGGACTCAATTCGACTCCTGACTCCTCTCCAAACACCGAAACAGGCACCACAGCGCCATCCTAGTCCCACTGCCCTGCGTACAGCCGAAGCCTCACCTCAGAAGAAACGACCGCCGCCAGAAAAGGCCAGATCTTCCGTGTCTCCTGTCCTGACGTGGCGTCCAGGTGGACCGAATCCGCACTGTACTGAAAGGCCTATGCGTTTCTGTGACAATCTACAATGACAGTCGATACTCGAAAGTGATTGACTGGCCGATTATTTCGCGCTGTCTTCTTCCGAAAATAACGACCGCCGCGGAAAGAGGAGCCGGTAAAGTCGAGCGACGAGAAGACGGGACCGTCAGCGGATAGCGACAGCAGAGGCGGCCGAACTGTGAAGAATTTTTGCCGCCGGTAAAGCTGCCGGAGAAGTGGCCCGACGTGACATGGCGCTTCGGATGAGATGCCAGCGCTTTATCCGATCCGAGGACGCTGGGATGAAATCTGAAGCGTCCAGAAGCTTGGAGCGCCGGCTGAAGCGCAGGGAACTGGACTTCCGCGCGGCACTCATTCATCATCACGGCACCAGAAAAGGGCAGATCTTCCGTGTCTCCTGTCCTGACGTGGCGTCCAGGTGGACCGAATCCGCACCTCTGACAGGTGATTACACGCCGCCTCCGCGCGAGTGATTGGCACCTCCACCCTCCACACTCCATCCAAAATACAAACGAACCTGCCACCTGTCATGACACCAGCACGTGCAGGACTCACATCCCTCATGAACATCCGAGTTCGCAGTTACCAAATATTCCATTTTGATTCGCAGGTGGATCAATCTCGCGCATTGCTGTTAGACTCTAGTGGCAAATTCTTGTGTACTCTTGGAGCACTGTCGAGTCCAGTCACCGGCCTGCACTTTCCACGCAGCAGTCGTCGATTCTCGAAAGGGGGACATCGCTGTGGAGATTGAGAAACCATGTCAGCCACGGAAAAGCCCGGTCATACTTGCCGCTCGTCGCTGCAAGGGAATGGAAGTGAGGGCGGTGGTATTGGAATAGTGAGAAGTAGTAGCTCGGGAGGAGCTCGAGGACCGTTCTCGGCTTCGACATAAGGCAAATCCTCTCGGCGATTCTGCCGTTAGCGAGGGACGAGGAAGAAGCGGAGTCGGATTGACACTTTCTATTTCGAGTCGTCTCGCGCCGACGCACGGAGGACGAAGGGAACGAGGGAAGATGCACATTTGCATCGTGAGGGTAGCAGCGGAAGGACGAGGCAGTGCTTGAGCTCGTGCTGTTGCGCGAGCTACCTTGTAATGAAGAGTTGTTCTGAATGCTGACTGATTTCAAATGCACAAATCAGTCAAAATTCTATGTTGACTGATGAATGCTGATGTGATGTGATCTTGATGATGCTGCACAAATCAGTCAGCATAGAATTCTGGCTCACAACTCTTCACTAAATTCATTGAGAATTTTTTTTTGAAATAAATTTAATTGAAATAATTCATAACGTAATGAATATATGGCACAATTTTCGATTCGTAGTCAGGTTAGAGATTTTTTAATTTCAATAAATTTGAAATTTTATTTTTATCATCATTCAACCAATTAATCTTTTTAGTCAAATGTATTGAGCTGTTTAAAAGATTGAAAACATGTTATAACAACATGTGACATTATTGAGATATAGTGGGCTATGAATGAATCTTTATATCACAAAATAAAGATTTTTTTATTGAATTTTAAGAATGAACAAATTTTAAAATTTCAATCATTTATTACAATTTATTTTTATGACGCGGAAGATATATATTTATCTATCTTTCAAGAAACTAATGAAACTATATACTCTCAACATAAAATAATACGAATTGAGATATACATATTCAACATATAATATTTTTATAATTTTTGGTATATAAGATTTTAGAAATTAATCTATTCGAAATAATTTAAATTTCATAAGAAATTTAAACCTTTCTTCAAAATTATTACATGTTTTACTATTCAATATATAATAAGCTTTTTTCTCAATTTTTTCTTATTATCATATATCATTTCCTAAAAATACAAAATATTAAGTTTGATATAGTCATTTTTTAAAAGTATTTGGAATTATTTAAATTTTTGTAATCCAAATGTTTAACATATGATACATTCATGATATGAAAATTTTGAAGTTACTTTGTAATAAAAAATAAATTAAAATATATAAAAATTTAAGTATTTTGTACTATTTAGTTATTCTTAGGGCTCATTATTTTAAAAATTTATTCTGAATTAAAAATCAAGGTTCAAAAATGATTTATGTGATAAATAAAAATTGATGTAAAATTATTATCACAATTGTATGAGCTTTTATGAAAAATTTTAATTTATTCCTTTAGAAATTTGTTCATTTGAAATTTTACATTATTTCGTGATATGATATCATCATATAAAAAACTATATTTGTATATTGAAGAACTGATACATTATTAGATCATAAAGTTATCTTGTGTAGGAATTTGGAATTTATGATAGTTGTTTGTTGTTATGTATATTTTTTTGATGTTTTAGAGAGATCACCATATAATATAAGAATTGAAATTTGAAGATGCAAAATAGATTTCTAATTGTATATATAGTAGTATTACTAAATGATTGGCGATCGTCAATGTTTTATCATTCACTTAGCATAGGAGAAAAATATCTTGTCATTTTAACTTTACACCAACTTACTCTTATTATTATATAATCAAATCAGTAAAAACTAACTGGGTGTATATTCTTTATGCATCATTATCAAGTGCTTCGATATAGACTTTTTTTGAACCATGATCCAAACTTTTTCTAAATTTTTCTAGATGTGATTGTAAGACGAGTGTGAATCTTAGGTTAAATATGATGAGAGATTTGCTTGATGGAACCCAAGCGAAAAATAATGTGCTTGATGAGACCCCTCACGTTTCATTTTACCCGATGGGACCCTAACGACTATGTGCCATCGGCAATAGTTCTTGTAACTATGATTGATATAGTTAAAATGCGGGGGATTACAATCAAAGATCAATCCCTGATTATAATTTCTGGTGGATTATCACCGGGACAAATATCAATTTTGCTTGAAGTGCAATTTGTTATGCTTCAATTCTCCCGATAGCACCAATTTGCGGATTTCTCTGCTGCCTCCCGCCAGCACCCTCCTTCCGTAACCCTACGTATCCGACGAGGAGCTCGTACCGACAAGTGATCCGAGCTGAAGTCTAGCTGTTCCCCATTTGTGGGGAACAATTAAACTTTGGATGAGTATTTCTTTGTTCGTCACTTGGGGGAGTGGTCGGATACAGAATGACAAAATAAAAACAAGAGAGTCTGATGGAGGCAAAGTCCAATCTCTCCGCGGGCGTGGTTGACTCGTTGCATTCTCTCTAAAACTCAAGTCGTTATTAGAACATGGGTGACGGTGCATCGTTCATGGGGTCTCATCGGTTAAAACTAAACCTGAAGGGTCCCATAAAGCAAATTACTTTTCGCAGGGTCCCATAAAGCAAATCTCTCCAAATATGATATGTAAAAACATTGTATATCCTCTTTGATTTTACATCATAGCAAAACCTTTATATCTAATAACTCCTTAATTTACAAATTACTTATAGTTTTTGAATATTTCAACTGTTATTTTACACTTTAAATAATTTGAGATGTTTTTTTAGTGTGAATTGAAATTTTTTAAGTTGATCTCTTTTTAAAATTTTAATACTTTTGATTAAAATTATAATATTTTGAAAATAATTTTCTCTAAAGATTAATATGATAGTTGACATAAAATATATAATGTTGTAAAATTTTGTATATGGAAGTATAATTAATCTTGGATTAGATGAGATTTTTATTGAAAATCATAAAGCAGATTAATTTGATATTACAAATTCATTTCCAAATAGTTTATTTATTAAATCTTAAGTATGTATTGATTTTTTAGCTTCTAAGATTTGAATCCTGTTTTTTTCAAGATAATTTTACAATTTTCATTAATTATTTTTATCATTAAATATGTACATAACCTTAAAAAACCTTAAATTAATCTGTGTAGTAATATGACATCATGCAGCACCATACACAAAACCTTGGTATGGTGTTATAAAATTATTTTGTTTGTTTAGAACTTTATAGTCTCGGCATTTGAAAATGTACTTATTTTCGGAGTATTGAGATTTGTTTTACATACTGACATTTATAAAATATGCTAAAATATATAAAATTCATTTCAAATATTATTTTATCCACTTTTAGATAATTGTGTACATTTTCTTTAAAAAATTATGATTTAAATTTCATGCTTCTTCAATGCGTTTTTATTCTTTTTTTAAACTAGCAATTTGATGGAGGTGGTTAATTACATATATACCACACTATCTATTGTAACTAATCTCTCTATTAAAAGTTCAAAAATTATATAATATGAAAAAGGATTGAAATATAAAATTGTAATGAACACAATATTTTCATTACAATTCTTTTTATTCATTTATTCTTCTCTTTATTTTTTCATCACATGTAATTTATAAACTACATAGATTGTATAAACTACATGTAAACATGTCAATGGAGTTTCAATGTAAAACAACAAGAATTGTTACTATGGAAGAAGTCATTAATCATAATCATTGTCATGCTTATGATTAATGATGTTGCTTATATTTCATAATTTAGATAAGTAATAAAGTAAGAAGTTAAAACTTCCTTTTACATCAAGCGAGTGAATATAAGTTGAAAGTTTATTAGATTAAAGTAAAGTATAGAATGCTATATTAGAGAAATTTTGTTGAAGAAACTCAATGTGAGAGGTTAAACATGTGTTTGTATGTTTAAAACATAGAGCAATATTGTTTTACACATATCTAAATATTTACAGTCCAACGTAGCGATACTTATCCCTAGCAACCTAGAATGATACGCTATTGCACACTTTCTTTGAATATGTCAAAGTCCACGTCAATCAACATATAACTAAAAGAATAAAAAAATTATTAGATTCGTACGATAGAATTGTAACCCTTTGTTCATGTTGATACACTTTACCCATCAAAGATAATAAACCTCTACAAATATGTGTCAAAATGT